CCATGACAGCTAACACGCTTGAGCTTTAAAAAATGTATGAAAGAATTTATTTTTAATCCATTTCAGCAATTGAGTCTGCTGGGAAACATTTTCTTAGAGCTCAGGGGGAAAAAAACTCTTCCATGACAGCTAACACTCTTGAGCTTTAAAAATGTAGGAAAGAATTTATTTTAATCCATTTCAGCGATTGAGTCTGCTGGGAAACATTTTCTTAGAGCTCAGGGAAAAAAAAAGGCTCTTTCCATGACACCTAACACTCTTGAGCTTTAAAAATGTATGAAAGAATTTTTTTTAATCCATTTCAGGGATTGAGTCTACTGGGAAACATTTTCTTAGAGCTCAGGGAATGTGTCTCCAGGTTGAATGCACAGCACACACGCATGGGAAGTCGAAACTCGAGTGGCTTAAAAAATAAATATACGAAAGTTGGGTTATCGAGCTGACTAGGAAAAATTCTCAGAGTTCTGGAAATAATTCTGAGTTCAAGCATGGGACATGAGAACCGAAATGTATTACAATCATCATGTCATCATTGTTTTCGAAAGCCAAAAGAACATCTCATGAAAGAACATCTTTTTTTTCCCTGGTTGTGGGATGGATTAGAGTTGCTGCATCTTGAACAACCCACACTGATCTGAACAGAAACTGAAATGTTCTTATAGATATAAGAAATGAATTGAAAGTGAAAGTAAAAATGAAATTGTATTGGCTGGAAATATTTCTTGGCTGTTTGAATTGGAAAAATATTTCCAGAGCTATAAAAAAAAAAAAAAAAAAAAAAACTCTTCCTTTTTTTTCTATTAATTTGATGTCTTCACTTTGTTTACTTTGGAATGGAGAAACCCAAAGACTTTTTAAACATATCCTTTTTAAAAACTTATCATATCTTATAAACTTTAAACTCATCCTTTTTAAAACATATAATTCCTAGAATGAGTCATGGTCTATTTTTAGAAACAGTGAGACAACATTCCCACACAAAAGGGGGGTAGGGTTAATTTTTATCATGTCTAGAAGACATGATAAAAATTAACAAAAAGTTTTTTTTTTTTTTTTTTTTTTTTTTTTTACATCTCAGAATTTTTTTCTGAGCTCTTGAAAATTTTTTCCCAGTCGGCAACCAATTGAAAAAAAAATTTTTCCAATCGGCTTTTTACTTTCACTTTCAAACTCTCTTTTCTATAAAAGCATTCCACGTTTTCTGTTCAGAACCGTGCGGGCTGTTGACCATGGTGTGCAACATGCTTTTCTCTCTCTCTCTACCTCATCTGCAGCTAGGGTGTTTTTCCTTCTTCAAGAAGTGGAATTTTTTGGGAATACTTTACAATTTCACGAGCTAGCTGTTTCTTATATTTCGAGGAGATTTCAATGGAATTGTTTATAGATGTCACCTATTGCAGATGGGGAAAAAGTCTATACTGGATCGCTGGAGACATCTCATCCAGATAGGTCACGTTATATGTTTTTTCCCACTTAAATAAACTGGACATGAGCCATCCTTTTGTTTTCTCATTCAACAAAGATAGACACTGCAGACCGTTTTCGGGTTTTCACTCTTCGCGAACCGAGACGAGCCGCAGCGAACACTTTGCGTTTTCTATGAGCGCAATAATGGATTACGTGAGCAGCCATTTTGTTTCCCATCTCACCCAGATAGGTCATGTTGTATTTTGTTTCATGCACCTAGCCAATTTTGGACATCAGCCATCCTTTTTTTTTTTTTTTTTTTTTTTGTCTATCGAACCAAGATAGACTCTGGAGACAATTTTGTTTCTCAACGGAAAAGTAAATTTTCTGAATGGTTTCTGAAAAGTTCGAATACTTTTGTGGCCGACTGTACATTCCTCCCATGAGACCTGTGGCTGTCGTTTAGGCAGACCTTGAAATTCTACTCACACTTGGTATACATGTTATTATTGGTGGAGACTTGAACGCAAGACACCGCGCATGGAACTGCTACACTTCTAATGCAACAGGCAGACTGATTTATTCCTTCACCGCGTCGGCACGGTTTGATTTGGCAGTTCAAAGTACCCCAACACGGTATGCTGCTGGGTCCACCGCAATTATTGATTTTTTCCTGTTGCGGAACACCAGTTCTCCACTGGATATTTCCGTACTGGACGAACTTTCAAGTGATCACAATCCTGTTAGGATTATTCTCAGCAGATATACTGCATCAGACACCAGAGCCTTTCGTACAGACTGGCAGGTCTTTGCCAAAGCCTCTCCAACACCCAGTACACTTTACCCACGATACACAAGGGGAGTGGCATTGATAGTTTGGTCAAGGACCTCACTAAAAATATACAAATGCTTATGAGAAAGCACAAGTTGAAGTTAAACCTGGTATGAAACACAAGCCTCAAGAGCTCAGATTATTGATTAAAGAGAGAAATGCTGCAAGACGAGCGTATCAACGCACCAGACACCGTGATGATAAAAGGAACTTCAATCGCCTGTGCGAAGCGGTCAAGTTTCTTACAAATAAACTCTCACAAGATCGCTGGACTAACTACCTCAGATCTCTTTCTGCAGAGGATAACTCCTTGTGGAAAGCAGTGAAGAGGTACAAAAAATGCTATAACGCCATTCCGCCCCTTCACGGCCCTCAACGTATCCATTACACAGGAACTGAGAAAGCAGAACTTTTAGCTCAGCATCTGGAATATCACTTCTTCATTAACAACATTTCAGACTCAGACACTGAACAGCTTATTGCTGACTTCCACTCCAATTTTACAACACAGCCATGCACAGACAACATTATCTCAGCCATGCCATCGGAGGTCTGTCTCTATATCATGCGAATTGCAAAAAAGGAAGAGCCCTGGAGTAGACGGGGTCACAAATGAGATGATCAAGCACTTCCCTGTCACGATAATACTCTACTTCATCAAGTTAGTGAATATCATACTACGATGGCAATACTTCCCAACTTGTTGGAAAAACTGCCAAGATTGTCCCTCTGCTAAAGCCAACAAGCCTGCGACTGCTCTTGAGAGTTACCGACCCATCAGTTTGCTAAGCTCAATTAGCAAAATCGTGGAAGCAGTTATTCTATTACATAGACTAAACATCTTTCTGGATGAGCAGAAGATCCTCATACCCTATTAGTTTGGGTTCAGCCGTAAGCACTCGACAACGCATCAACTCTACAGAGTTGTTGAGTTAATAAGTAGTGGGATGCAACAACATCGTGTCGCTGGTGGACTTTTCATAGATGTCGCCAAGGCCTTCGATAGAGTATGGCTGGATGCTCTCATATACAAATTACACAACCTGGGACTCCCAGGCTACATCACAAACATAATTAAATCCTACCTAACCGGTAGACACTTTGTCGTTCATGTTTCTGGTTCATTATCCACAAACCGGCCTATATGGGCTGGTGTTCCACAGGGATCCCTTCTGGGGCCCTACCCTATTCAATATTTACGTGAACGACATCCCCACTACACACAACACAACACTAGCCATGTATGCAGACGACACAGCGATCCTTACGCAAAGTGCATTTGTTAGTTCAGCAATACAACAGCTACAACACCACATCCACTCGCTAGAGAGACTTGGCTGACCAAATGGAAAGTCAAAGTGAATGTCGACAAGACACATGCTATACTGTTTACTACTAAGAAGAATTTCCCGACTCACCTGCAAATGTATGGTGTGGATATTCCCTGGGTCAAGCAGGTCCCTTATCTTGGGGTGATCCTCAGTAAATCTCTTACATGGAACCCACATGTTACACATATTCTCAGGAAGTTTCGAGCTAGTAAAGCTTCACTCTTCCCCAGTGGCGTAGCTAGAGTGGGGCAAGGGGGAATATCTGTCCCCGGGCGCAGCATCCAAAGGGCGTCAAATTCATGCTACGAAATTTTTTAATGAAATGTTTTCCATTCTTGGCACACCGAAAGGGTCGCAAATTCTTCAGTTGCCCCCGGGCGCTGGAAACTCTAGCTACGCCTTTGCTCTTCCCCTTAATTGCTCGAAACAGTGTTCTATCTATTGATAATAAGTTGCTCATTTACAAAACCATGTTGTGTCCAATTCTTAGTTATGCATGCCTCGTCTGGGCATACTCGTGCAAAAGTTTGAGAAGGCAGTTACAAGCTGCCCAAAACGGGGTATTGCGTATGATATGTAATGCCCCCTGGTACATTCGGAATAGCCAAATTCGCAAAGAGTTAAGAATAGAGGATCTTTGTGATTTTTATTGCCGCCTATCTAGGGCATTTTATGATAACTAGGAACTTCTGGACAATCTTGTGGTTGTTAACTATTGTTATGATACTAGGGACCCTCAATTTCAGTAAACGCCCAAGGGCGATCCTAAATGTTAGTAATTTGTAATTTTGTATATGTGTTATGCAAATTGTTGCTCAGATTCTTTATTGTATATTGTTCTTTTTTCCTCCTGATTGCATTTTGTTTTCACTAGTGGCATTAAGGCGTCGCACTTCGTATTTTGTTTCTCTTGTGTGTACATGTATTCTTCTGCGAAATAGTTGTTAAAAAATAGTTAATTATGTAAGGATTGGTAATTAGATACTTAAGGAAAAAAATATGTATTTAACTATTAGCAATTATGAATTTAAACTCTTACTCATTTAATTATTTAGCACATTCAGTTATAGTTCTCATAATTCGAAACTTTTATCATGTTATTCGATGAGGGGTAGGGCGCCCAGGCACCCTGGTGGTTAAGCACCGCAGTTCAATGGTAGTTTCTAAGCTGTTATATGGTCTTTTTCTAAGATTCTAACTTACTATTTTGAAGGCTTTGTACAATTTAGCCAAAAATCATTAATTTGTTTGGGATTACAGTTTCGCTTTAGTCCACACTATTTTGCTTTATTTAAATATTTATTTAATCGACAAAAATATTTAACATTAGAAGGAAACAAGGAGTAAAATAGAAACGCCATGTTTATTAGTAGAAGTTAGAATAACAAAATTGTAACTTCTGTGGAAGGAACATAGTTTTCAACTCATCTTGAAAGGTGCTCAATTTCAAAAAATGGCTGCCGTCGTACAAGATCACGATGCAAAAGTGGAAGATGAAAATGAAGACATAAGGGAAGATCCTAATGAAGATGATGCAGAAGATGAATTAAGTTCTAAAGATCCTGCTAAGAAAAAGAAAAAAAAGAAGAAGAAAAAGAAAGGTTTTGATTCGTTATGAGAAAATAATATGTTACTTTTGCTTAACTTGTTGGCACACTTCTCTATAAATACTATATCCCGTAAATATATTTTCTCTTTTTGACATCGTAGGTAATGAAAGTAAAACGAAAGAACCATACAATATGTTAAATTTTTTCTCATTCAAATGTAGTTAACTACATCAGTTTGTATTATTAAAAAAAAAAAAAAAAGCACGTGCGTGTACTTGTAGTATTCGATATGAGAAATATTCGCCACTGTGGTCGGAGCAGAAAAGACCATTACCACACTATACTCTGATATTTCATTTTACCATAGTTAATATTTTAAGTCAAATTTATGCATGTGCTATCTTTGACATCTTTTAATGGTGGTGAAAGCGTACTTTTGTGCCATTGTCCAGGAAAAAGTCTAGAACTGCAAAACTAGTGGCATTCAATGAGGAGTTAATTATTGGTTCATTGGATACTTAAACTGTAATATAATACATTTTATTTAAAAAATATAGAAAACATTGATGGGGGAATAGAATTACAGTCTGGGATTTTGATGGATTGTATTAGGTTATTTATGGGTAAATTCAGTTGTGGTATTATAGTGTACTAATTTAGGAATAGCTGAGTATTCTAATGAGCTGTTCTGGGGAAATTAAAGAGAAAATTATGTGAGACTATAATCAGGAATATTGAGCATATTCATAACAATAATATTTAAGTTTTTTCTGATTATCCACATTTCCATTAGAACTGTGATGTTTTGGCATATTTTTTAGTGTGCATGCAGTAATCCTTAACCCTCACATGGGCATGCTAGACACGTGTTTCGAGATGCAGAGATTTACATATGAGAATTAAACAAAAAATTTTGTGTTGACGAGTTTGCAGTTGAGTTTGTATATATTGCATCATCTGCGTAGTACATGCGGGATTTGGAGACTTTTGGCAACATGATGATGAGCTGTAAACAAGTCAGTTTTGTGTTGGTGACAGTTTTCAAAATCGCACCCTGCCCGTACCATATACAAGGATTTTACCAACTTAACATCATCTGTAGCTGTGTAATATTTAATGCCAAGACAAATTTGTGCAATTTTTTTCACTTTAAAAAAATTAGAATTTTGCACAAATTCATTATTGTGTGCGTTAAATATTAGGTATTACTGACATGTATCAAATAAATATGTATTGTATTGTTTAATATAATATATTACTGACATTGACAGTTTTTTTCATGAAGCTTTACATATTGTGAAGTCAAACCATCTAGGGTGAGATTTTCTACTGACATTTGTTTGGAGACAAGTAGGGTTCCCACATCTCCCGGAATTGAGTCCTGAAAATTAAAATCTCCCGGCTCCTGTAAGGAATTTAAAATAAATATTACTCTTCCGGAATATAAAGTTTCTCAAAAATAACGACACAATGTGCAAGGAAGAAATGGTTCAGAGCATCGAAAATCACACGACTGTGCACAGCAGCCAAAGAACCTCTATGTCAATACATATTCTTTGCATCAGTGATCTGCGGTGAGTAAGCGCCTTATGGGATGAGTCGTGGTTTCATGCTGGCGTATCGTGCGCGCGTGCCCTCATCTTCTCATTTTCAGTCCATTCTTTTATTTAGTCTGCAGTTAGCTAGCTATCTACAAACAAGTACGTATTTTGAAATTATTTAAATTCTTTCATAATAATGTCTAGTGAAAAAAAAAAGATTCTGATTCTACAAGTAAACAAGTACCACAAAAAAAAAAAAAAAAAAAAAGTCAAAATATTTGACGTCGTTTCAAGACAAGTGGTTAACTCAATTTGATTAGCTTATGAAGAGAGACAGCTTTAACGGAGAATGTAAAGTATGTCGGAAAACGGTTAATATTAAGTACGAGGATGTTAGAGAACTGTACATTCGCAAAGCAAGAAACATCTGTCGTTAATATTGAATAGGGATTCTTCACAATCAGTTTCGAACTTTTACATGAAGAAATCTTCAGAAGAACAAGACAATATATCAGCAATTGAAATTACTTCAGTCTATCATAGGATTAAGCAATATAACACTTTAAATAGCCAGGATTACACAAGTTGTATTGCACTCTATTTCCAGATTCTTCTTTGTCCAAAACGATTTCTTGTGGTAGAACAAAATGTACAAGTATTTGCGAGAGTGTGCTTACTCCTGCAGTTCAAAAAGTACTTTTAAACGAGATTAAGGAGGCAGAGATTTTTTCAGTTCCGACTGAAAAAACGTTTTTTTTCTTCTCCCGGATTTTGACAGCCAAGAGGTGGCAATGCTAGTGGCAAGTAGTGCCTTGTTGACAGAAAAGTTATTGCCTTCTCCAAAACATTAGCTATAAGCTGTAAAAACCGGCAAGCAAATCTTTTGATCAAAGTACTGATTGAGTTGGTTTGTGGTTCCAGATAATCACGAAGTACCATGTTTCTATTAAATTATAAAATATTTACTGTATGCTATTTAAAGCAGCAGAACTGCATTCTTAAAACTTGTTATATAAAATATCTATAATTTGATGAAACTTTTTGTTTTAATTCATTCTTTCTAAATTTTGATAAAGGCTTTATGAACTGTGGTAAAACGTATTGCATTTTGTGGTGAAGTATAGTGTGTTCCTTCAGTCTATTATTCTTAATATCTGATGTAATAATATTAATTTTTGTTGTGATTTCCAGCATCTGTGCTGAAGAGAAATGCATATCACACCGAAGCACTAAATGAAATGGCAAATTAATTGAAATGATCACAATTTTTATGCAAATTATCATTTTCTTCCTCTATTCTGTATGATTTTCTACATTGTATGGCATAAAATCTTGTATATTTCATCCAATCTAAATTGATGTGTATTAAATAGTTTAAATGCTGTTTTTTGATGGTCAATTCAAATGCATAAATTTTATGCAATGACATGTTGAAAAAGATGTGTTGACATTGATTTATCATTCCTTTGTGACAGAATGTCAATAATTTTAATTAGATCATTGAAATCTGAGTTAAATCATGTTTTTAATTGTATTTTTTAGTCAGCATAGCTTTAGTAATAATCCTCTTTGGTGACTTTGGGATAAATGAAAAATGTTAACACCCTTTTTTATATATGGTAACGCTGTATACTGAGCTGAAACATGTCACAATTACTGTCCATGTAACTTGAATGAATTTGGTAGGTATCAAAGCTTTGATGGCAGAAGGAATAAATTGCAAGTTTTTCTTAAAATTACTTTTGTGTTAGGAAAGCACAATATAAAAAGAAAATTTTTAAAATATAATTTTTAAGAAAGCCAAAATTTGATTGGTAAGACTGATGCTTTTAATATTACGTCAAAATTCTTGACATTTTTTTAAATGTCAACTCTGCACATTATAAACTCCGCTATCCCCCCCTAAAAAACATAGATTTTTAGAAGCATGAGGTAACTTTGTGTTTTCTTTGCTAAGGAACCACATGCAAATTTAGACTTCTTACATGTTTCTTAAAATGGGCCATGATCAAAATCACCATAGTCTAAAAATACTTTTTTCCTTCATTTCTTAAATTAGAACTATAAGGATGTGTAATTGTGTGAATTCATAGAACAAAATCATTATTGCTTTTATAGCATTTTATAATTTGTCTGACTATAAAAAATTTTAATGTTGCCAGCTTAGATTTATGAAATATTATTGCTCATAATTTACAGTTCTCAAATTCAGTAAATCTCTCAATCTAATAGCTGTCTAAGAGTAACCTTCATTGAGTATCATTGCTTTTATTAATAGTATGTTGACATAGCTGTTGACTTTTTATTTTTTAGACATTTAATCTAACAGAACTCTGAATTTGTTGTAATAAAAGCAAGAGTACAATTTATATATAAAAATTGACTACTTGACAAGTACATAAATACTGATTTCAACTTCTGTAAATGTAATTATAAAGTTTAGATGTGTTTTTTGCAATCATATAGTGTTACTATAGAATTAGAGGAAATTTCCTCTTTTTGAATTTAACCAATTAAAACTATTACATAAGTTATTGTATGCAAAAGCAAAAAAAAAAAAAAAGTTTTTACTGTCATGTGAATTTTATTTTGTAATATAATTTATATTTTGTTTTCTATTCTTTCTAAATAATTGTTATTTTGCTCATTCTATTAATAATATAAAGCGAAATTCAGTTTTAAAATCTAAATTCTAAAGCAGATCTCATTACAAATACTTAAAATACATACATAATCTCCCCAAAAATATATAAATAACCAAAGAACTGTTATGGAGTTGTTAAGGCAACAATAATCAGTGTATAATATCTCTATATATTGTAATTTATGGGATTTCATAATTGGATAAGATATTTAACTATTATACTACTTAATATTGAAATAAATAAGACAGAATAGATTGGCTTTTATGATTATTGAATGCATTTTTTTTAATCTTGCATAATTTTAAGTATAGGTTCTTGATATTCAAGTTCATAATGAATAAGATGATTGATTTTATAATTTTAGACCAGAAATTTCTTCCAGACAGTTGCCTTTTCTAGCATGGATTTCATTTTTTATATGCTCAAATGTTATAAATTTCCCAAGTTTTCTGGATAGTTAAGCTTTTACTATACATATGGATCTTCAAATCATGATATAGATCTTCAGTGTTGATCTATATCAACAGTTATTCAGATTAGTTTTTAAAAGAAATTTCTGTTTGTGCTTTTATCATTTTTTTTATAAAGTATTTTATTTCACTTTCACAAATTTCTGCTATGAGATGTTAGTAATGAATGGAATGTACACATGTAAACTTTTTCTACTTTTAAGTATATTTTAAAATAAATGCTTCAAAGTCTCTTTCATTTACTCTCATAATATGTGTTGTCATCTGTGCACAACACTTATTTTCTCCACCTCATATGAGATTGTAGTTCAAGTCAGGCTTTATTCATGCATTTTCCATGAAACAAAACACATCAAATGGAAAAATTAACCCTCTTTTGCAGTTGTCATTACCATGATTATGAGGTAAGCTAGGAGATGGAAAATGACCTTGAAGGCTATAATGATCGCTTTTTCCCATTTCCTGTAAAAGAGGCTAAACTGAATTTATTACTCTCAAAATTAAACTTCCCTTTCCGAAGACTAAAGATAAAACAGATTCTTCTTAAAGGAGGTTCAATAAAATTATTTTTATTCATCAGATTTAATAACCATTAAATGGTTGTCCTAGATATATAATTAAATCTAACTTATTTTAGATTGAGTATCTTTTTTTGCTGCATAAAGTGGATATTTTACAAAATTGGGCTAAGATATTTTTACTGAAAATTTATGCTTTTTTCTAGCTCCTGGGCCTGATGTGGCAAATGACAACTCTGAAGACATAGAAAATGTAACAGAAAAATTAGAGCGACAAATTATTGAAGGAGAAGTTAATAACAGAGATGCAGATGGTAATATATTTTTTGATGATATTGTTTATCAGTGGTATTTCTGACTTTTTGACTAATTAGATTTAAAATTATTTCTAACTAATTTGATTTAAAATTATTTTTAGGTGAATATGATTGCAAAGGGGAAAATGTTGAAGCAAGCAAAAAGAAGCGCAAGAAGAAAAGCAAAGGTTTCTATTTTATAATGTGCATATTATCATACATGTTATATTATCCACGGTCATATATGGTTTCAGTTATTCGAGCTCTAAAGAAAGCTGGAACAAATGGAAATCTTATTTCATGTGAATGCAGATCTTGCTTGTAGGACGTCCAGATCTTGGACTTTGTACTGTAAAAATGTTTATTGTTTGGTTTAAAAGCATTTCTATTTCAGAATTTGAGAACTTCTTAACTTTCTGCATGTATAACAGGGCATATTTAAAAGCATCATAGGCTTCTTTTTTTCTGTATAATTTTAGAATTTTGGCGGTGAACTTTTTAAGGATGCTGAGTTTGTGTAACTAATTTTTTTTATCTTTTTAAAGTTGAAGACTGGTTTTATATGTGTATAGCAACACAAAAGTCGAGAAAAGTGCATAACTTTTATGGAAAAAAGAAGAATGTAAAAAAATAGGTGGTATTGGATGCATTGTTGAAATAAATGTAAAGCTGTCCAGACAAATATTTTTTTTTCCAGAGCTGCCAGTGAGTTAGTGAATGCTTTCCAAATGTTTGAATTAATGCATGCTTTTCAAAGCTGCCAGTGAGTTGGTGAAAGTCACCAATGAGTTCACAATTTTTGGGGAGATATCAGATAATCAGAATGTACCTGATCTAGAAGCGCTTACAGCTTTTTATTATGAGTAAAGGTCTGTAGAAAACCATTAAGGTTTGACAAGAATGGAAAAATTTGTGATCCTTCTGCTATTTTATCTGTATTAAATGTCATCATTTAGTGACAATAAAATAACTTAAATATGAAACTAAATCTCCCACAGTAAATGACCTCATGTTATGGTCAGAAATATTAAACAGCATTGGAACTTCAGATGTGAGAAGCATGGAAGCTTAATTTGTTATCATAGCCTGAGAAAAAACTTGAAAAGAGGACATTTTTAAGTAATAATCAACACAGATATAGTAGAAATGATCTTGTGCTATAATCTTCATGTATTAATAACAAAATGCCTAAAACAGACAATAATTCTAAATAAACCAAGAGGATGAAGTGGAAATGGAAATTGTCATATAGATTTCTAAAAGTATTCTTCTGATTTTAAATTGGATTTTTTCTTAACAGTACCAGTAAATAATATCCTTAATTTGAATAATTTCATAGAGAAGGGAAGAAAGTTCAAAAGAGGCATGAAAAATTTGTTAACCAAATTATAAAGATAATTTCTGATTATCCTCACAAACACCGAAAAGTTGCAAACTTCTTGGTGACTAATTCTCCAATGTGTTAAAGGCAACAGCCCTTTTCAAAATGGTAGTACACTATGAATAGCATGCAAGAGCAATCAGTCGGTAGAATTAAAAAGGTAGGACACATCAGTAATAAAACTCCTACCTTTTTTGAAAAATCTTTCTTTTTATGCTGTTGTTCTCTGCATGTTCACAGTGATCTGTTTTTACTTAAAAAATGTTGAAGAATTGATAAATTTAGCATTGCATACTAGCTAAAGCAGACATTTTACCTACATACCTAGGTAGCACATAAATACTTTTTTATGACACTGTGGTTTGTCACCTAACTTTTTTAGTGACATTTTGATTTGTCTCATGAATGAATATTTTTTCAACTTTTTGGTGAAGAAATTGTGTAAAGACGAAAAATTAAGCATAATTATTGAAGAAAGGGAAAATAAAAAATTTTTTTGCTAACAAATTAATTTTTTTAAATATATTTATGAAAGCATTATCAAACATTAATTTGACATTTCCCCATACATATTTTCGTGTGTTGGGTTAAACTGTAAGTTAATCTCATCTTTTGAGATGAAATACATGTAAATATACTGTGATTTATTTCATTTAATTATGCATTAAATTCTTAATTATATATTATTTTTTTTAGGTGGTACAACCGTGAAACAGACTGATCCTCCGTCCATTCCTATTAAAGTCCTTTATCCAGATGGGAATTATCCTGTTGGTGAGGAGGTTGAATATGTCTCTGGGGTGGATGGGTATGTATTTTTTTTTTTAATCTATATGCATTCTACAGCTATTGTCTAGTTAAAATCTTATATAAATGTGGCTTTTTTCATGATTGTTTCTTAATTGTTCTGAATTTGTTTATTGATTTCTACATGCTAGTATAATTAAATGAAAAAATAAAAGCTTATCATATTGTAAATAAATTAAAGAAAAAAATTACCATGAAATATTTCAGAAATTGCATAAAATATTTTTAACATATAACATCAGTAGAATTTCACTGTCTGCATTAATGAGGCCACAAGCCATGTATATATGAAAAATCTGGACAACTGTCTTCCTTTTTGGGAGAGGGGGTAGATCAAATAATTTTTATTATAATGCAAGTAAAAAAATATTAATATTTTATTGAAAAAAATGAAAGATGTAAAAAGGTTAATTTATCAAAATATAGAACAAATTTTTAGATGCAATATTGAAATTTTTTAGTATTTCCTTATTAGTATGCTTTGCTCCTGATTCCATTATTTCAACAATCCCAAGGTTATCATCAAATTTTAATTAAAAAGTTAACTACTGATATTGCAAACATGTTTACTTCTGCCATGCAGTCCCTAAATTTACATAAACATACTGCAATTAATGGATTTTTGCCCTTGTTGGAGCTTTTCTCATGACAGGTAAACTGCAAATTCGAGGATCATTAGTTTCTTTCTTTCTTTTTCTTTTTTTCTTTTTTTTTTTTTTTTTTAATGCAGAATAAGGAACATAAAAAATTAGCAATGCCTTTGTCAGAATTCAAACTACAGATCTTGCAATGATAGCTGGACATGTTACTATTTACACCAGATTATGTGTGGGGAAATGCCTTGAATCCTTATTTAAAATATTAATCTTCCCCATTTAAAAATTGGCTGCCAAGGAACCTGAGGCCTAGTCACCTAAATCCAAGTGATGGTGAATTATTCACCCATTTTAGTTAGGGTGTCATTGTAGAGATATTAAGTTTTTTAGAACCAGAACACATGAAAAATCAACATTAGGGCATGTGAAAAACAACTTATGTATCTTCCAAATGCTAACGAGACGTACTATCAGTTACATTATAAGGTATTTTTTCTCTCCTTACCATGTGTCTTCATGGTGTAACAGTAAAACATGTCATTCAATGTTCAAATCCTGGCACACGCTGCATTTTTCATGTGTCCTGCTTTAAAAAACCAAATTGACTCTACTAATGGTGCCCAAACTAAAAGGAGGTAGGCACTACTAACTATTTAACTACCAGCATTTAGCAATTGGGGTTCCTGTCTCCCTATTCATCCTTAAAGAGAAGGGAATATATAAAGTACAGTCAAAAGTCGTTAATTCAGACACCCATAATCTGGAATGATCTATAATCCGGACCTCAAAGCTATTGACGCATGCGCGTAAGACCTTTACCGCTGCAAATTTGCGTGTGCAAAATACGTTTACGAATGCGCGTTTAATGTATAACGGACGGGATAAGCTAAGCTAAAATTATCTAATTATCTATTTCAGTTAATGTTGCAGATTGTGTGTTCCTTAATCTTCGATTTGGATCCGGATTATTAATTTTTTGCAGACTGTTAGAGCAATTTTATAAAAGTAAGCTTGAACTTTCGATTATGTCAAATAGAATTTCCGATATATATTTAGTAATATGTAAAGGATATACAAAGCGAAAGTATCTTTCGGAGTCCATTAAACAAAAAGTGGAATTGCTGCAAAAAATGGATAAAGACATATCCTTTGTTTATCTAAACTTTAACGTTTGTTTATCTAAACTTTGTTTACCTTTAACGCCATGGCAGCGTGCAATGAATTGGAAGTTCATCTGTCAGCACTATCCATATCTTAAGGGCAGATGTTTTTATTTTATTTGGCTTGCTCAGTGTAGTATTTCATCTCCATGTACTCTGTCTTCGATATGATTTAAATCAAATGCCTCGTCATTATAATTCGCTTCCGATAGCGAAGAAAGTGACAGAGGTTATTGAAAACGAAAAAATTTCGATTGACAAATTAGTCGGTATTCTCGACACAGCAATTATAGGACTTGAACAGCAGAACTTCGTAACTGAACAAGAAATTATGTCTGTTTATAGAGTTAAAGAGAATGTATTATCACATAAAAAACGAAGCAACTTAAACAACTTACGTTGAAAGAAATGTGTAATAAAGTAAACAAATAAATATTAAGCTTTTTTTTGTAAATTTTGATATCCTTTAGATCATAATTGTTCTTTATTTCGTAAATTACGGTTTCATATTTTTAATTTTATAATTTCTGCATGCCATTTTACCAGATTTAAACTGATGATCTATAATCCGGAATCGCCGAAGTCCTGATGAGTCCGGATTAACGACTTTTGACTGTATTTTCTCTCTCCTTACTACGTACCTTCATAATGTAGCTGGAAAGCACATAGCACTGGAAGGACCTGGTGTTCAAATCCTGGTTTGAGTATAGTGCATTTTTCATGTGTCCTACTTCAAAAAAACCTAATGGTTCTACGGCATGAGACAGTCAGACAATACCAGTTATGCCATGAGAACACGTACTGAAAAATGAAATAGTTCTTTATAAAGTAGCAATGATTAGGTCTGCTGTTTATTTGGCAACTGTTTTTCATGCACACTGATGCAGCTTACATAATGGGAGTTTAAGTAATAATAACAATCAAGAAATATTTAACTAAACTATTCAAATAAAAGAATAGAACTAAATTCTTATTTGCATAGGTTGTAAAATCAGAATGCATATCTTGATTTTAGTAACAACTAAAAAACTGAATTTTCAGACTTAACTCGACTTACCAGGGGGAGGGAGTATGATGGTTTCAAAATGAAAACTGAAAGTAAAATTTCATCTGAAGGTCTTTGAAGACATTGATTCCAACGATCAACAAGTAAAGATCATAGTGTGCGAGAGAAGAAATAAAGCCTGTTTTAAAGAAAAAGATCGTCATTGGTCCGGACATGAAGAAAGGATGGTGCAATGACATTGTCTCAAAAACTGGATCATTCCTTAAACAAGTTAACTTTTTTTTAAAGCTATAACGAATTGCTGCAATTTTACACACTCTCTTTTCCATAAACTTGCTTTCTCATTAAATCCACATCTAATTAACTTTACTTCTATAACTTAACTGAAAAATATGACATTTTTTTTATTAGTACTTGTTATTAACATTAAGAACTCCAAATTTTTGAATGAAACATGCCTAACCTAGCAATGGGAAACACGACTGGTGCTCTCTGATTATCAGCATCTGCAGGAAAAAAAACTAGAATTATTTATGAAGCAAAGCAGTATATTGTCACAATTATGTAGCAACCCACTATATCGCTGAAAAGAAGTTATCTGGCAACCCAGATATGCGCATAGCACATATATGTTTTGGTTGGATGCAGCGCCAAAGTTGTATGATGCCAAGTTCGTGCAATTCTTTGATGTTTGTTGAAGCAGAAACAGATCACTGCATACATGGGGAGAACAACAGCATTAAAAAATGTTTTTCGAAATAGGTAAGTGTTTAACACTCATGTATTTCTGCCTTTTTAATTCTAGTGATTGATTGCTCTTATATGGTATTTTTAGTGAAAATGTTGCCTTTCACACATTAGCTTGGTAAAAAAATTAGTCATCAATGAATTTATGACTTTTTGGTGGGATTCATAATAATCAGGAAGCACCAAGCTCCTTTTCAAGCTTTCATAAGCAGCTCACCTACTTCAGAGAACTTCATTGATGTCTTGGTTATTTTCTTCCCTGTGGTTACACATCTTTTTCTGGCTTAATTGGCATTACTTACAGTGGAGACAAAGTTCTTTTAATAGAATATCATTTGTTATTTTTCAGAATTATTTTTATGGCAGATCGAGTGAAATTCCTATTCTGAAACTTTTCTTTCTTATGTTGTCATAGCGACATAAATTATAGAAAGCAACAGAAATTAGATTAGAACATATTATAACACAGAAACTCCACAAGCTTTATATCATGTGTTTGGATAACAATTTTAAAAAATAGGTGTCATTCTTTTTTATAGCAAAATGTGGTTTTAGGTTACACATCATGCATGAGGCTAATACAAATAGCAAGGGGAGGATGATACAACTACTAAAGAAAAAAGAAGACAGTGGAGGTATAACTAATGGAATATGTGGTGACTTATGATAGTAAAAGGACAGTTTTCATATTACAAATAAAATATAATATATAAGAATAAATTATAAAACATAAATATCAAACGAATGCTTCAAAAATACAAAAAAGGACTAAAAATACATAATAATAATATTTCTTTTTGATTGTGAAGTAAGGAATATGCATTTTTATTTTCAAAAAAACAAAAATTGTAATATAATTTCAAGGACAAATTTATAAGTTTGTCATTGCCAATCCATAATTCATTGATAGACATCTGAAAACATTAATGTCATCATTATCTCAATTCTTTTAGCTCGCTCGCAGTTGTAACACCTTTTTCAGTAGCACAAGAATAAATTCATTAACGGAAAAAATTTGCTTTAACATTTTGTCTGCATTTGGTTCAACATATAACATACAGGCAAATATTCTCACACATGAAATTTATTTTAAGTGAGAACAACTTAAGTACCAAAGATTCAGATGCATGTATTCGTCTTAAGATGACTAACTATAAGCCTGATGTATTGCCTAAATTGACATCAAAAGTTCAGCATCAGGGTATTCATTGGTATAGAAATGTATTATTGCAACCACCCTACCAGAAATAGCCAACTCTGGCAACCACTTTTTTAGATAACCATATCAGTCATAATCCAGAAATTTGCCGAATCACCTTTTTCTTCCATTAAAACCACAACCTGTGCAGGGTGATTGCATAAATATGTATGTACATATTCAGTTATGTGTACTTTTATAGTAATTAGAATTATAATTTTTCACTTTCATGTTTAAAGCATATGTAATAATTTTTTCAATTAAACTATCTTGTTATTCACTAAAAAGACTGTTTTAAAGTAAAAATACCATTGACTCAAAGCATCTTACAGGGTTCGTAGCGGTCCTTATAAGTGTTTATAAGTCCTTATATTTGAAAATAAAATATAAAGGCCCTTATAGGTGCTTACTTTTTCTTTAAAGCCCTTATTTTTTTGTTTTTAGTGTTTATTTTTTGCTTTTAGTGCCCTCTTTTTTTAATGAACGTGCTATTTTTCCCCGTACCAAAGCCGAAACTAAATAAACAACTTTTCTACCTAATATGGAATGTCAGATGGTGAATCATACTCGCGGAAATAGGTTTTCCCCCTTTCTCTACATTAACATTACCTTTGGTGTGCACGAAGAGTACAGACAGGTGCCCGTCGTTCTATTGGTCAAAGAATTGCGAAAGCAGTAGAAAATTCCGGTACATTCGGCATTCTTTCCCTCCCACCCAAATACTACACACGTTTGAATTTCTATCAAGATCTTAATAATTTGCATTCTCGTTCCGCTTGGTCAGTTCATATTCGTGTTTATTATGATCATTATGCTTATATTATGAGCATATGTATGAATGTTTATAATAACATAGTTGTAGTAACTGCTGAAGTATAGTAAACTTCCAAAAATGGTTGTGTTTTAACACAGATTAGCTTTCTAAGGAATAATATTCGAAATGGCTTAAATAAAGGGGAAGTAATCAAATAGTCAAAATAATTTCACTTTTTTGGCCAATACATTATACAGTATGAAGATTGGGAGGTTCTCCCCTTTCTCTGCAAAATCTCGAATATAGAAACTGTTACAGTTTGCTGCGAAACAAGCAACGGACCCTTTTTTTTGGGGGGGGGTCACTTTCCAATCTGGATTGAATAGGACTAAAAGTTCTGCAGTCTACCAACCCAAGCGAAGAATGATTCTATTCCGGAAATTTAGCGCCGTCTGTTGAAAATTAGAATGAAAAACACTCCAGTTATTTAGTTCTTTATTTTCCCAATACCGGCAGCTGTTGATTCAGATTACGCAATATCACGTAGGGAAGAATTACGGCGTTTGTATTGCGCAATAACGTTTGCGATATTTTGCAGAGATAATTAATTTTGATGTTCTGCCCGAGATTTGTTTATGAACACTTAAAAGAGTTTTACTGTGCTTGCTAAGCAGAATATTTTTCAGTTCCATTGGTTTATTTGTATATGATGCACATATCAAAATGTCAAAAGCATTTGTTTAGCGGAAAAATCTAAAGAGTGGCTACAGTCTACCCCCCTTCCGCTCTACGCTCAACTGTCCAAATATTCGCCAATTTCCAAGTATGCGGGTTAGTTAAGCTTTTAATGTTAAAGGATGACTGCATGAAGCAAATTTCTGTCTTCTGATTTCAGAAAAGTTCCTCTTTTTTGCTTAAATTACTTTGTTTGCAATATCTGTTAAGGGAAAACTGATATACAATGAAAATTTAGAAAATGTTCAGAATTTAGATTTAAATTATTTAAATATCAATATGAGTGGAAAAATAAATTGTATTTGTTATTAGGTTCCAGGCGAATGCAATAAATATTTCTTCTTATTATTTATTTTCTCTATTTTGAACTGAAATTTCATCATTAAATCTTGTAATATAGTTCTGCATAGTTTTTTTTCCTCTCATTGTAAACTAGTTCTGTAAATTGAACTGTTATTTAAAATTAAAAAAAAAAAAAGTAATTATTTTCCATGTTTGAGGTAATGCTTATTCTCTCTTAATAAATACTGCATTTCTCATTATTTTAAATTACAAGTCTAATTTTTAAGGTTATGCAGTTGTGTATAATGTAATTAGACTGGTGCTTATTTTTTTAACTAAAATGTGGCTATGAACCCTGATCTTAATATATACACATTTCAGTTGATTTTGACCAGCAGCCAAGAAATGGTTGCCAACGCCTAGTGTAATAAATTTATAAATATGTGTTTATATTTGTGATAAATCTCTAGATTCAGTTTCAGATTTCTGAGGTTTGATACTCGGCTGAGACCTCACACTCAGATGAAATAATGAAGTATCTGTAGAGAAAGGAAAGCAGTATGAGCTCGAGGCTGACCACAATCTGTGATCTTTCCCAGTTTTAAAGTTCTAGAAGCCTTAGTTTGATGATTCTTTTATTCTGTATAATCATCTGACAATTGCCTTTGGGCAAGCAGTTGCAAGATTACCTTAACTTTTTATTTCCACACTATATTATGAAAATGAAACATTTTATTTTTCTCTGATTCCATGAGAATGAATTTAGCTTTCTGTTAATTCCAGTCGTACAGCAAAAGACAGATTTTCATCAGAAGAGAAAAAAGCAATTGAGCAGATGGAGCAAGATATATATAAGGATATCAGACAAGCTGCTGAAGCTCACAGACAGGTAAAAATGAATGAAATGCTGTTAAGATATATTTTAAAATGACATTTTATCATTTATCATAAAATTTTAATACCTTGGATTTTAAAAGGTTCAGTATTTTACTTCCTTGTACGAAGTAAAAAGGAAGTATTGTAATCGCGAAAAGCTTCAGGCAGCATATTTCAACGAAAATATCCACTTTGACCGCTTTCGAATGCAATTTAACGATGTTTTTGCGTGATATCTATACGTAAGGACAGAATAAAAGACTCTTTTCCTCCAAAAAAACTAAAAAACTGCTTTAAAATGAATTCTGAAGAGAATTTTTCGTGCCATCTGTACGAACGTATGTACGTACATGCGTACAAACGTACGTACGTATCTCGCATAACTCAAAAGCAAGTAGCCTCAGAACGTTGAAATTTTGTATATAAGACTACTATAACATGTAGATGTGTACCTCATATTTTGGTTTCAGTCGGCCGCGCCAAATGTATATAAATATATTTATAAATATATCCACTCTGCTACCCGGCTCAGTGATCTCAGTTTCTTTACTCTTATATGTTTGTAAATTGTACATTTTTTGCTTTAAAAATTATTGAATTATGTTGTTTTTATCTTCCAGTTAAAGTTTTTATGCCTTTCATAATTCTGGAAGCAATATTTGTACAATTATCAACAATTTAAAAGCTGTTTAAGTGCGGTTAAGTTTTAAATAACATGACGGACATATTTGTTTACATTTGAAGCAGCAGAATTGTAGATTTGTTGCCAATCTAGAGAGACTGAGCTTCACAACACAAAAATAACGCCTTCATTTATTATTGCGAATTAAATCATGCTTAATCCTTTCTGGAATTTTTTTGAGGAAATAACAGGGTTGCCACGCTACCTGGAAAACCGGGAAAAGTCGGGGAATTCGAAAATTGACCAAAAAATTCAGGGAAAAGTCAGGGAATTTAAGGATTTTTGTCAAAATCTGGAAAAGTCAGGGAAGTTCATACAATGATCCCGCCAAAAAAAGCAATTTTTGCGCCGACTTCGGAAGAGATAACTTTTTTGGCGAATTGCCTATCACGTGAGTGTCTGCTGGCATAGAGCCAATTTTCGCAGCTCCAATTTGATTGCCTTTTAGAAAGGCAAAGCAAGTTTCCCGCAACTTTTGGTTTCCAGTATTCTCGAGAATCGCATGTGCAGTGCATGAACTAAAGAAAGTATCTGTTCTCGTATAAAACAAAATGGGTTTAATCTTAGTATACGGTACCATGGAGGTTAGAATCAAAGAATGTGTATTGTAAAGAAGGGAAACCTCTCTGCAACAGACGTGGCTCCGTTCCATCATAGATGGAAACAGCTGTGCATGCGTGATATATCTGCCGCCAAAGCTGGAAACCGGTGTCGAAGTTCGAAGGTCACGTTATCAAGAGTTCATTAAATGAATATCCTTTAAAATTTCTTTAACCACTTGCGCTAAAAAGACGTGCCATGCACGTCGAGATGTTTTTGTTTCAAACTGCGAGCGACGTGAACACCATGTCGATAAGCATTTATCGCAAAAATGAAAATAACATGGTGCACACGTCGCCTAACAATGAGATTGTTTATTTCTCGAGTTACAGCTCTGGATTGCACTCGCAGATGCGGAGCGGCGTAAATGAAACACTTTACCACTTGCTATATTGTAGCGCACGGCACCGCAACCGTGAAGTTTAGTCTTAGCGCAAGTAGTTAAACTCTAAATTAAAAGAAAATATTTTTTGGCGCAAGTAAATTAATTCATAGGTTAGTAATTTTCAGGGGGGAACTACGAAAATCCGTTTTTAAATTTATTGCGAAAAATCCCAGAAGAAACGTCCTTTGATAAAACGTTTCTTCTTGGATTTTTCGCAATAATTTAAAAACGGATTTTCGTAGCTTTCTTTTTGTCAAAGAACGTTTCTTCTTAACACGTTTCTCAATTTCCGGTACGCATATTTCACAAGTGCACATCTGCGTAGCTACTGAGGGAGGGGTTTCGAAAATGGACCAATGAGCTGCTATTGCTCTTTTGACGCTAAATCTTCGTTGCATGTGCGCGTATGTTGTTCACGTTTTATTTGCATTTGTTTCGCAGTTATAAATATATGGCGTAATACGAAAAAATCTTGTAGTGCTTTCGTTTTTTTAAATTTGATTAATGGCTGACATTTCACTTTCGCGTCTTATCACGCATTAATATTAGGATTGACGTTCACGGCATATTATGTGGATTAAGAGAATTCAAGTGCATATTTTTTTTAAATTGAGCTTAGAATGACTGAAAGTATTACAATGAATCTAGTGTTAATTCTTATTTCAGTGCTTGAATTCTTTTGATATTAAAGTGTAAGATTCAGAATACATATGATCTGATTATATCCATTGTTAACATTAAAAATTATATGTGAATAAATTGAATATACTCGTTGGGAATACAATAAATTCACTCTGTTTCATGAGTATTTCTTGTGTAGACAGTACATTTAAGAGTTAGCAGTTATTAAATGTGAAATTTAACAAATTTAACACACTAAATGTACTCGAATGCAAATTAGTAAAGTTCACTTTGAATAAAATTCTGCATTGGTTATTATTATAGAACATCTTTTTCAATATAGACTGCAATAAAAAGTGCTGACTTCTATTTACATATATAATTGGTGTAATATTTTTCTCATATGCACAGTTTTATGTAAAGATTGCATTTGGGCTCAGATCTTTATCACATGTATTTCTTTCTTCATTTTATTTACCACTTATTAAGTAATATTTCACACATCGATATTTTTGCGAAGTATCCAAATTGTATTTGCATTTATTTCAACCAGGTAGTGAAATCATCATAAATTCCTATAATTGATTTAACTTCGCAATGAAAAGTTTCAGAAGCAATCGACAATGCTTTCATTATTTTGTTCAGAAAATTGCGTGGCGGAATATTTTCAGCCATCTTGCTTAATCTTAAAGCATGCGAAAGGTTATGTGGCATGACAGAAATATTACTGGATGCTCATTGGTTCATCCTAGAAGCCACTCCCTCGGTGGCTACACAGATGTGCACTTGTGAAATATGCTTCCGGTACACATCGCGGAGAGGGAAATTCTGGCCGCCAGGTTCCGTCGCCAAATCCCTTGGCAAATTTTCCCTCCGCATTCTAGCGGCGTAATAGCATTTTACTTGTATGGAAAATTTTTCTTCTCTTACTTATATACCAAAGAATTAGATTCTTTAGCATAGACGTCCATTTTTGGTTAAAATAATCTCCAGGTACGTATGGATTTGGCGACATGATAATGAGCGCAGTAAACGGGTCATTTTTGGTCTTGGCGACAATTTTCAAAATCGTGCCAAAGCCTTACCGTATACTAGAATTTTACCGCAAAATCTTTTTAAACTTTTCTTTTAATAAATACCTTGCCATTTTGCAGTAAAATAAAAAATAGTAATCTGTCATCTCGGCTAACCATGTAATATAACTATGTTCGCTAAAATATCGTTGATTATTCTAATTCAATTTTTAAGTAATTATCTTTATTTTTATGTTATTCGTATAATTTAATGATGCTTCTTCCCTCTAAATTTATTAATTATTAGTAAATAATATTTCTAAATTTCAGGAAATTTTCTCTGGCATAATCTTGAAATTAATTCTAGCAGTATGATGACGTACCATCACGAAATTTAATGCACATATTTGTTTCTTATGTATGCTGCGAACTAAATATAAAATACCTCAATTTATTAAAATAGATTTCTTTCTTTCGTTTAGCTGCAGAATGTCGGCAAAAAAAGCCTTATTTTATTCCAGATTGGGAAGATTCTAATCTCAATCTTCAATGGAGAAAACAACAACTATTATAATTATATTTGTGTTTTCAAGTGTTAAGGTGCTTTTTTAAGAACATACCTCACACAAATTAAATTTACCTAAAATCTAACTATTTAGCATTGCATTGTAATTTTATATTTGTGTTTTCAAGTAAGGTACCTTTTAGAAGACACCTCACACAAATTAAATTTGCTAAAATCTAAGTAACTATTTAGTGATTTATAAGGACCGGATTAGCCTCTCGTGTTGAACTGGTGATGATCATGAGTAATAATTAAATAAAACATACATTTGTTATCCAATGTATATATCTTAAATTTTATTAAGTTTCTTAAGTGGAAAAGTAAACAAAATTATCAAACAAAGTATACCAAGAATAATTAAGAATAAATGTCCTCTGGGATTTATTGAATAATTAAGTGAATTTGCTACACAATACAAGTAATACCATAATTTACCTCTTAGCGTAGCCAACGTACATTACGCGGATAGACTGTAATTTTCTTGAAACGCACCTGGAAAACCTGGAAAAGTCAGGGAATTTCATTCTCCTGTTTGAGTGGCAACCCTGAAATAAGTATTTAAGATTTACTTCGTAATTTTTAATGCAGATATTTTGAGTTTTTATGTATTTTTGCCTTGTCGCAAAGTGAAAACTGAATTAATTGAATGAGAAATACTCAATCGTCTGTGAAAAACTGTTTCTTTTTTGTTTTGTTTGCTTAATTTCTTTTATACATCATTCTAGCTTTGTTATAGTATTTGAATAGAACATGTGGCAACGATTAGATAATTCTTTAAATGATATAAATTTTGTGCATTCTGAGTTATAATATAAATATAATACTGTTAAGTAAACCTAGCGCCATAGTGTCGCTATGGGAAACAAAGTGAATTTTAAAGAATACATTTATTCTATTGTGGTTTATGCGCTGTCGGCGAAGTAGGTGTAATTCAATCTAATAAGTTAAATGAAATGCAAGAAAAAATGCATATAATTTAATATTCCCTACAAAAAAAGTCATGTGGCGTATACATCTGATTTTTTATTATAAAATTTTAATATTCTCAGTGAGATTTATAATTACTATAAAGTTTTAATATCTATTATTATTTTGTCATTTTAAAATTTAATATTCATGCTTCACTTATATTTTTACTCTTTTTTCAGACTAGACAATATATTAGAAAGTTTATAAAACCTGGGATGACAATGATAGAAATATGGTAAGTTATTTTGTATGGCAATTAATTTGTCTTAAAAATACCTTCCCCTCATTTAATATAACTAACATGTTACAGTAAGCTATTGATTATTCTTGTAGAAAACAAAAGCTAACATAAGCTGATGAATTACTGTTACATGAAAATTAAGAAATAATGAAACAAATGCTGTTTCTATATTCTATATTTATATTGCAGCTGACATCAGTGCCATTATGTCTTATCAAAATTACTTTCTTTAAATTGTAACACTTTATTTGTTTAGTTATTTTTAGCACCATTGCATTTAAAGGACATTGCATAAAAGTTTTCAGTTTTTTTTTTTTTTTTTAAAGCATGTTTGATGTAAAAAATGAAAACATGGCTAATTATTCAAGAAAACTAGATTTTCAGTATAAATTCTATTTTGCTATAAGGAGGGTTTCATTCCTCCTAAGCTGACATTTCCCACCTCCTTTGATGCGACTGCATTTAAGGAGGATTAAAGATGTCATGTAGTTAACAGTAATTCATCAGCTTATGTTGTCATCATTTTATTTTTTTCTTCTGTTTTTTAAGAATCTGTTTAGATGACTTATTGATCTGAGCGGTGTGACCACTTTTATCCATTCATGAGATTTGTTATCTCATTGCTTAAAATATTTCCATTTTCTTTAATGACCTAAATATTGTCTTGATGAATGGAAATTTATTTAATACAGATTTAGTATGCATATAAGTGCTGTTTAAATAGGAAAAAAGTTCTATACTGCTTGAAGGATTAACCTTTTGTATATCATATATAAATTCGGTATATACAATCTAATTTCTTGTATTCTTGTAGTGAAGAACTAGAAAAGACTGCCAGGACATTAATTTCAGAAAATGGTCTGCAGGCTGGATTAGCATTTCCCACCGGATGTTCATTAAATAATTGTGCTGCTCACTATACTCCTAATGCTGGAGATACCACAGTTTTACAATATGACGATGTTTGTAAAATTGATTTTGGCACTCATATTAATGGTAAAACTGTTTTAAGTTTTTTCACCTTTTTTAAACTACTTTAATATGAAAAATGAATATGATTTTAATATGAAATTATTTTTTCCAGTTATGGTATAAAATGTTATATTAAGTATTTGGCATAATAAATACTAACTTAAGAAATAAAAGGGTACTTCTTTATCATTATTGCCCCTATTTTGTAAATGGCAACAAGATTATTGAAAAATGCAAACCATATTCATATGGCTGGCAGTCCTAGCAAAAATCATTTATTACTTGCTCATGACAAGAAGAAACCATGTTCTATTATGTTTTTATCGTTTGAATAAACTGTATCTTTTATGTTCAGACCGCTAGTTCTGTATCTGAATAAACTAGACATATTTTCTTTTTTTCCACTTAAATTTTAATAATTCACAATCACTTATTATTTTCTCATTATTTCACATGTTAACATATTTTTTTCAAAACTACGGTTTGAAATGTTTAATTTCCAGAGAAGTGAGGAATTTGCTATAGCTTTCTTCTAAGAAAGATGCATTTTACTTGATCTGAATATGCAACAATAGCCATTAAATAAAATTACCTATCAATGAAAGCTTTTGGAGGTACAGTGTAAAAAGTTTCAAGTGAAGGAAATGCATACATTTTGACACCTGTTTCAGTGGTTTTAGAATGCTGCTTGTTACAACACAGCAATGTATTGATGTGCAGAGGAACTGGTGTCTAAGAAGTGATTAGAAAAACAACTCAGCCTTTATAAAAACACATCTATTGACTGGAACAATTTTATGAAAAAAGTGTATTCACTACATCTAATCCGACAATCTACAAGTGAGTAGGCTCTAAAAAAATTGTGAACATAAAACAAAAATCTGTTTGAATAAGGAAAAAGGAAAGCAGGCAAAGTGTTTACACAGTACTGCATATTTAGCAAGTTATGAGAAGGAACTGGTGAATTCTTTCTCGTTCAGGTCCAGAACGAAAAGGTAACCATATTTACAGCAAAAATCATTGACCATGCTCAAGAAGAATCAATGATTTATTCAGACAGAGCATATAAAGCAAAGGAGCTGAAATAAGCAGGTTAGAGAGATTTTACTGTAAACCATAAATTTAAATTTAATGGCCCACCAGCGGCCGAGCGGTAAAGACACTGAACATGGTAGTTCGGTCTGAGGTTCGAATCCCGCAAACGGGCTGGCTGCATGGGCGTTTTCATGGTTTTCCCCATGTGTAACATGTATACGAGCTAGTTTCCCTTAGAAAGTTCTCCATGAAAGACATCCCTCCCTTTAGGCAGATAGCCCTCATGTGCTTTGTCATAACTGAATAATCCAATCCAATACTTAAATTTAATGATCCAACGATAGCTGTCCATACACAGAATGTTGAAAGACTGACACTGCACTAAGTGGCAGAATCAAATTTTACAAGACACGGTTTTCCTTTACCATTGCATGCGCATTTCATATGGTGAAATTCCATGTGATGAGAAAATGCTTCTGATACTGATGCTTTCAAGTAATTTAGCAATTAATAATCAGATGCTTTATTAAAAGCTTTATTTATTAAAATACTGATGGTTTATTAAAATCATTTGGCCACAAAGTGCATGTGAGAAGTAAACTTGAAGTTGGAGATAATCATGGTGCCAACTTGATTTAAAAAATAAGGCCAGTAATAGAAAGAAAGAACTAATAGAACATGGTTTGTAGCAGTCCTTACAAGTGCTTATAAGTCCTTATATTTGAAAATAAAATATAAAAGCCCTTATAGGTGCTTACGTTTTTTCTAAAGCACTTTTTTTTTAGTGCTCCTGCACATTTGTCCGCTTACCAAAGCATAAACTAAATAAACAACTTTTCTTCCTTATATGTGTCAGATCGTGAATCATACTCCAAGAAATAGCTTTTCGCTCCTTTCTCTGCATTAACATAATCTTTGGTGCACATGAGTACAGACAGGTGCGCACATCATTCAATTGGTCAAAGAATTGCGAAAGTGGTAGAAAAATGATTGGTATGCTTATATTATGAGCATATGTATGAATATTTATAATATATTTGCAGTAACTGCTGAAGTATAGATAAACTTCAAAAATGGCTAAGTGTGCTTTAACCCAGATTAGTTTTCTAAGGAATAATATTTGGAATGGCATAAATAAAATAAAAAAGTAATCGTGTTTTTTTTTTTTTTTTTTTTTTTTTTTTTTTTTTTTTTAATATTAAAACTGTTACAGTTCGAGCAAATCAAGCAACCGACTTTTTTGGAACTGATTTATTTTAAAAGTAAACTTATTTTTAAAAGTATCACACTAGTAGTAGTACAGCTACTGAAAAAGATATTATAAAGCTGTTTTATAATTTTTTTTTAAATTTTTTATTTTACAGTAGTGTGAATTTTGCGTAATAATGAACGGCATTCCTTTTTGTGTTCACAGTATTATTCGTAAGGTATTCAACTGTTAGATTTTAAAGTAAATGTAATCCTTGCTGTACATAAATCGAGTAGAAGCTTTATCGGATGTCTATATTTGTATTAAATGAAGAAAGTTTATGTGCTTGCTAAACTTATTGTCTTCTACATTTTTAAAGCATACAATTTATATCTACAATTTCAGGAATAGTATAACCTTTCTTTCAGTAGAAATTGTGTTCTTGTTTTCTGAATGTGGCTCCAAATACTCTCTCAGTTCATCGCAAATTAAAATAACTATAAATTTTGGGAATCTGAAATATGCAATGAAAACATCTTTTGGCAGAACAAAAGCATCAATATATTTTCTATAAATTCGCCACCTATTCAGAGATCTACGACCGTATTCTTCATTTAAATATGAAAAAAACATCGGGGAAAACACATGCAAAGCCATTGTCTACTTACTACGTCAACTGCACAACTCTGATTGGCGACGCGGCAACACTTTTTCATACGCTCCCGACAACTTCCGTACTCAGAGAATATAGGATGTTGGGCAGACCTGATTTTTACTAGCAGCGACATCTGGCGGCCCACAACTTGCTGTCGACTCTCGTAGCGCAGAATAACCGTCCTGGATTGAATAGGACTAAAGGTTCTGTGGTCTACCAACCCAAACGAAGAATGATTCTATTGTGGACATTTAACGCACTCTGTTCAAAATTAGAATGAAAAACACTCCAGATTGGTGAATCTCTTTCCACGTGTCCTACTCAATGATAAATATGCATTACGGTGAAAACCGAAGGAAGCAAAGGGACGTTTTCTTTTATTTATTCTCTGAATACCAGGCAGCTGTTGATTCTCATTGCGTAATATCACGTGTGGAAGAATTAAGGCGCATGTATTGCACAATAACATTGTGATATTTCGCTGTGATAAAAGAGTTTTACTTGCTTGTGCTTGCTAAGCAGATTATTTTTCAGTTCCATTGGGCTATTTTTTTATATGATGTACATATTGAAATGTCAAAAGCATTATTTAGCCGAAAAATCTAAAGAACGGCTACAATCTACACCCTTTCCTTTTTTACCAGTTACCCTCGACTATCCGGAATATTCAGATATTCGGTAATTTCTGAGTATGCCGGTTAGTTAGGCTTTTACTGTTAAAGGATGACTGCATGAAGCAATTTCCCATCTTCTGATTTCAGAAAAAGTTCCTTTTTTACTCATTTTTACTTAAATTTCTTTGCTTGCACTATCTTTTGAGGGAAAACTGTTATACAATGAAAATTTAGAAAATGTTCAGAATTTTGATTTAATTTAAATTATGTAAATATTAATATGAGTGGGAAAATAAATTGTATTTATTTTTAGGTGCCAAGCAAATATAATAAATATGGCTTATTATTTATTTTCTCTATTTTGAACTGAAATTTCATCATTAAATCTTGTAATATAATTTAGTTCTGCATAGTTTTTTTTTTTTTCCCCCTCTCATTGCAAACTCGTTCTGTAAATTGAACTGTTATATAAAATTTAAAAAAAAATAATATAATTGTATTCTATGGTTGAGTAATGCTCATTCTCTCTTAATAAATACTGAATTTCTCGTATTTTTAATTACAAGTCTAATTTTTCTTTTAAGGTTATGCAGTTGTGTATAATGTAATTAGACAGGTGCTTATTTTTTTTCTTAAAATGTGCTTGAAAAGTGCTTATTTTTACTTCCTTGTATGAAATTAGAAAGGAAGTATTGTAATCACGAAAAGTTTCAGGCAGCATATTTCAACGAAAATATCCATTTTGACTGCTATCAAATGCAATTTAATGATGTTTTTGTGTGACATCCGTATGTAAGGACAGAACAAAAGCCTCCAAAAAATTATAAAAACTGCTTCAAAATGAATTCTGAAGAGAATTTTTTGAGGTGTCTGTACGTATGTATGCACGTACGTATCTCGCATAACTTAAAAACGAGTAGCCCTCAGAACATTGAAATTTTGTATATAGGACTGCTATAACATGTAGATGTGCACTTCGTATTTTGGTTGCAATCGGCCGCACCAAACGTATATATATATATCCACTCTATTACCCCGCTCAGTCATCTGAGTTTCTTTACTCTTACATGTTTGTAAATTGTGCATTTTCTGCTTTAAAAATGATTGAATTATGATGTTCTTATCTTCCTGTTAAGGTTTTTATGCTTTTAGGAAATCTGCAAGCAATATTTGTAGAATTAATCAACAGTTTAAAAGCTGTTTAAGTATGGTTAAGCCTAATTTTTAAATAACATGGCGGAAATGTTTGTTTACATTTGAAACAGCAGAATAGTAGATTTGTTTCCAATCTAGAGAGACTAAGCTTCGCAACAACAAAGATAACACCTACATTTATTCTTGCAAATTAAATCATGCTTAATCCTTTCTGGAATTTTTTCGAGTAAATAAGTGTTTAAGATTTACTTTGTAATTTTTAATACAGTCAAAAGTTTTTAATCCGGACTCGTCAGGACTTCGGTGATTCCGGATTATTGATTTTTCCTGATCATAGATCATCAGTTTAAATCTGGTAAGATGGCATGCAGAAATTATAAAATTAAAAATATGAAACCATAATTTATAAAATAATGAGCAATTATGATCTAAAGGATATCAAAATTTACAAAAAAAAGCTTAATATTTAGTTGTTTACTTTATTAAACATTTCTTTCAACGCGCACATGCGTAAAGCATACATTATGCATAGCCGAAATTAGAAAATTGCAATTGATTTAAATCATATCAAAGATGAAGTACATCGAGATGAAATACTACATTTAATAAGGAATTATAAGCCAAATAAAATAAAAACATCTGCCCTGAAGATAACGATAGTGTTGACAGATCAACTTTCAGTTCATTGCGCGCCACAATGCATGCCCCCCCCCCCCCCCCCGCAGAGTAGCCTGAACTTGATAAACAGATTTCGGAACGGTTAGATAAACAAAGGATATGCCTTTATCCATTTTTTGGAGCAATTCCACTTTTTGTTTGATGGACATCGAAACATACTTTCATTTTCGTAGATCCTTTGGGAGCTCCAGCATCGGAAATTCTATTTGACATAATCGAAAGTTCAAGCTTACTTTTATAAAATTGCTCTTACAGTCTGCAAAAATAATAAGCCGGATCCAATTCGAAGATTAAAGAACAACGCAATCGTCAACATTAACTGAAATAGACAATTAGATAATTTTAGCTTATACTGTCCGTTATACATTAAATGCGCAGCGAAAACATATTCTGCTCTTGTGCACACGCAAATGCGCAGTCGTAAAGGTCTTACACGCACGCTTAAACGTCAACGTGGCGCATGCGCAGAAAGTTTTTAGCTTTGAGGTCCGGATTATGGGTGTCCGAATTAACGACTTTTGACTGTATAGATATTTTGAGCCTTTTCGCAAAGTGAGAACTGAATTGATTGAATAAGAAATATTGAATCGTCTGTGAAAAACTGTTTCTTTTTAGTTTTGTTTGCTTAATTTTTTTTTATACATCGTTCTAGATTTATTATAGTATTTGAATAGAACATGTGGCAACCATTAGATAATTCTTCAAGTGATATAAATTTTGTGCATTCTGAGTTACAATATGAACGAAATATAAGGCTGTTAAGTGAACTTAGCGCCAGAGTGTCGCTATGGTAAACAAATATAGTGAATTTTAAAGAGTGTATTTATTCTATTTGGTTTATGCACTATCGAAGAAGTATTTTTAATTCAATCCAATAAGTTTAAATGAAATGCAAGAAAAAATGTGTATAATTTAATATTCTGTACAAGGAAGTCATGTGGTATACACATCAGATTTTTTTAACTAAAATATGGCTATGAACCCTGTAGAAGCAGCTACAGTAAACAAACACAATATTTTCTTGTGGCTGGCAGTCAAAGAAACTAGAAACAGTAACTAAAAATTGCTTTTTGTTGTTTTGAAGTCTATTTAAGAGGTTTGTGTTATGTTAAATAATAAAAAACAATTTACTAGTTATTAAAACATACATTTCATGAACTAGCATTGGCCCAAATGATTTTTATTTGCCATCCTCTCTGTAGTGAAAAAGTACTTTGTATCTTTTGAGTATAAAAATTATAAACTATATGGTAAATTTTCAGTACAGAAAGTGAACAGTTATTTTTCATCTTTTCAGTTCAAGATCTTAAACTGATGTGTAGTATTTTGATTTGTTCTTGATTGGTCATTTTCAGGTCGTATAATTGACTGTGCCTTCACTTTGACATACAATTCTAAATATGACAAGCTTCTTGAGGCAGTCAGAGAGGCTACTAATACTGGTATAAAAGTAAGTCATATTTTTGTTTAAAAGGATTTATTACTGATGTATACTTGTGTGATAATTGTAAAAGTATTGAAAATGTGCATTAGTAAAATATAAAATTATGAGGGCCAAAATATCTGATATTCATGAAGATAATTATTCAGTTATATGTGTTAAATAAGTGGATAATCAAATTAACCACTTGCAAAGTATATTTCTACTCTTTGATGCTGCTGTGCCACTTGTCATCACTTATCGTAAACAAAAGATTCATTCAGGAAGGATTCAGGAAATTCTTTAATTTAAAAGAACTGTTTTATCATTTATGAAGTTTAGGTGGTTCAGTGGTATCTGCATAAAACACCAGAGGACATATTGCATGATCCTGTGCTGTTTGAAACTGATGAATAAAATCTGACAACTCACAACAGATATTCTATTTGTAAACAAATGGAACCAAACAATTAGTGTTTGGTGTTCTATTAACTGGATACTGCAAAAAGAAGAGTTAGTGTAAATGCTTTATGTAAAAGTGCTGTAGTAGGGCAAAATGTTGATCAGACGTTGATTAATGATGTTGTTGATAATTTGCCACAGGGTATGTGGCAATCCTCACAAATGCTTATATGTCTTTATATTTAAAAATAAATTATAAAGGCCCTTATAGATGCTTACTCTTTATTTTCAAGCAAAATTAATTTGTTTGAAAATAAAGCAAATGAATTTGCTGAAAAGGCTGAAGTTACGAGAGATTAAAATCTTTTAAATACATCTAATGAAATCTTAAAAACTATTTGTGAAGAAAAGTGAGTTAAGACAACTGAATTCAAACATTAATGAAAAGAGACAAAAGAAAAATCAAACAAAAATTTTATTATTCATTAATAAGCATACATTTTTTCCTTCTGTATTTTGTATAAATAGAATAAATATGGTTTATTATTAATTTTCTGCATTAAAAACTGAAATTTCATTATTAAATCTTGTAATATAGTTTAGTAAACCCCTCGTTGTAAACTAGTTTTGTAAAGTGAACTGTTATTTAAAATTAAAAAGTAATTGTATTCTATGGTTGAGTAATGCTTCCTTAACCCTTTCATGACGGGCGTCCCATATATGCATTCACTTAAAACGTCTCTTACAGCCGAGCGTCCCATCCACACATCGCTAGAGATTGCATTCAGAGGACAGGTGATGCGTATATGCATTTTAAGCTGGAACGTTTTCCTGAAGGCCACTAGATGGCATCCTATGTCCATTACTTTTGAAATGAACACAGTTTTAGGTTCCTGACCTTGAGTTTGATATATTCTGCTTGACTTTGGTATTTTAGTCATCAGCTGTTAGGAGGGTGGGGGGGAGGAAAAGCATAAACAGAGGTGAGCTCTTTAAATCGCTGCCTGCTAATGAAAACATTCACCAGTCTGATTTATTTCCATTTTCTTTGTTTATTCTATTTTTTTTCCTTTACTATGTACTCTTTTAGGGTTAGTATGTGGAGTACTGTTATGTTTTGCATTTCCACCAGATATATTGCCATTTCTTCTCTTTTTATTTCGGAAAGCCTCACCTCCAGTCTATTATAGTGGGAAGGCGCAATTTATCAGAGGAAGAATACCCTCATATGGTCAATAAACCATTTACTAACGCAGACAAGAGTAATAATTCATTTTCTAAAGAGTTAGAAAGTAATATTCTCCATGCTTTGAGATTTACGACACTTAGTCTTCATTTTAAATTTTGTTACTTCTTACTGTAAATAGTCTTTATTGTGTTGTTTTATTAATTTTAAACTTTATTGATGGATTTTATCAATTAAAACTTTGAAATAATTTGAATAGCGCTTCCGAAAATTATTTTACAAGATAAGCAATTTTTTAAGTATATTTTCATGTAAAGTAAAGAAAAAAACGTTATTAAGAGCTAATTTTAACATATATAAGAGCTCAAAGTAATAATTTAAAATGATACCAAAAATTACGATGCTAGAAGCAAAACTTTTTTTGTGTGTGATTTTTTTTTATAAAATTAGGCTTAGCGATGCAAAATTTCCATCATGTACAGTGACTGCCTTCAATTCCCTTCCATCCTGCGCGAGCGTCTTAAACAAAGGTGCGCCATCGCGAAAAGGTTAATAAATACTGAATTTTTTATATTTTAAAATACAGGTCGAGTCTCATTTTCCTTTTAAGATTATGCAGTTGTGTATATATGTAATTAAACAGGTGCTTATTTTTTCTTAAAATGTGCTTGTTAGTGACAAGGGTTGTAAATACATTTATTTCTCTGTATGCCTGTTGTATTCCTTTGTAAATAAATCAATATATATTGATTTGAATAAATATATATCCCCCTTTTTTATATATATTGATATATTCGAATCAATATCAATATATATCAATAAAGGGGAATCCTCTTATTTTGTCATTTGAATATGATTTCAGGATTAGATTCTTGTGTGTTGGATAAATATCAGTGTTGAGCTATGCAGTAGTTTATGTTATATAAAAAAATTTATTACTGTTTACAGTGCACATGAAAGAGATAACTGTAGTGTTTAATTTGCTCTGAGCATAAAATGCATTAAAGATGTTTTTAAAGTGAACTACTGACATATAATAAATAAATATAAACAATATATCAATGGATAACTTAAAGAAAAAGTTTAGTCTTAATCTTTGCAGGAATGTTTAAAAAAATTAGAGTGCAACGAAATGCAACACCGTTGAAATGTTATGGGGTTGTCATATCTAGCGATGCACATTGCTAGATAAAATTCTGATGAGATATGAGTTTTTTCAATGCGTTAGCCTAACAGGAGGATTTTTAGTGGAAACAATCTTGTTGGAACTTATTCAGGATGTTTTGTGACCTTCACAAATATGTTTGCTCATACATCAGAAAGCCCAAAAAATGTTAAAAATATAATCTCCCCAATTAAAAAACAATAAAAAGGCTTGGGGTCACTGCCATAATTTTTCAGGATTGGTTTTTATATCATTTCGTTCCATAAGTAAGACAAAGTTATGAAAAAACAGTTCCTTTCCATATACTTTTAATTCTGAATAATGCACCTTCTCAACAAAATCATTATCCAAGCATTAAAATTCTTTTTTTACCCTCCATCCCAATACTACCTTGCATCTTCAGCCTGTGGATCAAGGCATTATTGCAAAAGCTGAGTTGTTTGTTTTTTTTAATTAACGTTTCTGTCTTTTTCTTTGTCTGACTGAAATTGAAAATATTCATGTTTTAAACTTATGTCCTCATTATTGTAACATTTCTATGGGAAAATAACTCAAATAAAGCACAGTAATTTGATTGCAATTAACTTGAGAATCATAAATTATCGGTGTATATTTTTCTTTTATATGTAGGAAGCAGGCATAGATGTTAGGTTGTGTGACATTGGAGAAGCCATTCAAGAAGTCATGGAATCTTATGAAGTTGAATTGAATGGGAAAACATATCCAGGTGTGTTTGAATTTATTTTAGAGGCATACGACAAGTTTGTCTTATTTGAAAGATTTTATTTTCAGAATTTCAACATATTTGATTAGAATATAAAGCTTATAATCATTTTCAATGCTAAAACATAGTAGTTCAAATCTAATTATTGTAGTGTTCGTGGTAACAAACTGCATTTTTTAAGCTTTGTAATATATAGTTCATAAGTACTGAATTTATATTTTATCTAAGTGTTATGAAAGAAAAGGGAACTTGACTATGATTACTAAGTATAACTATTATGTGTTGATCATGTGATTCTATTGTCTGTTTGTGTGCAACTAATTGTTTCATTGCAAGAAATCAAGATTGACTGGATGTATTTTCATTAGTAAATCTAAAAGTGGTACTTGTGATTATCAGTGATTAATCACCAAGTTGGTAACATTTATCAACAAACAGTACAGTCAAACGTCGTTAATTTGGACACCCATAATCCGGACCTCAAAGCTACAAACTTTCTGCGCATGCTTCGGACGCATGCGCAGAAAGTTTGTAGGTTTGAGTTTGAGTTGTAGCTTTGAGCTTTGAAGCATGCGCAGAAATTAATCAATTATCTATGACGCATAATTATCTATTTCAGTTAATGTTGCAGATTGCGTTGTTCCTTAATCTTCTAATTGGATCCGGCTTATTATTTTTTGCAGACTGTTAGAGCAATTTTATAAAAGTAAGCTTGAACTTTCGATTATGTCAAATAGAATTTCCAATGCTGGAGCTCCTAAAGGATCTACAGAGTGAAAGTATGTTTCGATGTCCATCAAACAAAAAGTGGAATTGCTAAAAAAAAAAAAAAAAAAAGGATAAAGGCATATCCTTTGTTTCTCTAACCATTCCGAAATCTATGTATCAATTTCACGCTGCTCTGTGGGGGGAAGGGGAGACGCCGGGGGCGCAATGAATTTGAAGTTGATCTGTCAGCACTATCCTTATCTTCAGGGCAGATGTTTTTATTTTATTTGGCTTGCTCAGTGTAGTATTTCATCTCGATGTACTCTGTCTTCGATATGATTTAAATCAAATTCCTCGTCATTATAATTAGCTTCCGATGGTGAAGAAAGTGACACAGAGGTTAATGAAAACGAAAAAATTTCGATTGACAAATTAGTCGGTATTCTCGACACAGCAATTATAGGACTTGAACAGCGGAACTTTGTAATTGAGCAAGAAATTATGTCTGTTTATAGAATTAAAGAGAAAGTATTATCACATAAAACGAAGCAACTTAAACAACTTACATTGAAAAAAATGTTAAATAAAGTAAAAAAAAATAAATATTAAGCTTTTTTTTTTTTTTTTTTTCGATACCCTTTAGATCATAATTGTTCTTTATTTCATAAATTATGGTTTCATATTTTTAATTTTATGATTTCTGCATGCCATCTTACCAGATTTAAACTGATGATCTATAATCTGGAATCGCAGAAGTCCCGACGAGTCCGGATTAACGACTTTTGACTGTATCATAAAGCCAAGTAATAAGAATTATGAAATAGGTTTTTTGTTCATAAGAAATCTCTCTCTTTCTTATTATTCAAAATGATGATGAATTTCAGTTTCCTATATTCAGTTTTCCAGAAAATGAACTTTTTAATTAAGAATTTGTCTTTTCAGAAAGAAAGTAAGTTATTTTGGTACTTATGTTCCACATTCATCTTGGTGCAGTGTAGCAATTTTTTCAAATCACAGAAAAAAGAATTTGAAAAATTATTTATTTTGTAACAACACATTATTCCATGCATAGTTTATGTTATGTTTTAAGTATTTATTCTGAAAATAAATTATTTAACCTATTTATAAACTTTGCCGTCATTTTTTTTCCTCATGGGAGTTTCATGGTGATCACTTTAAGAGTATGTTCAAATCGGTTATATTTTTTAGTGATTTTGCTTTCTTCCATTGCAGGCAAATCATGCAAGCACATGCTTTAAAATTGAGCTTTAAATAAATAAAAAAAAAAAGTCACATTTTTTTTACTGTAAGAATTGTTATAATTTAGAATATAACCCCTTCTCCCAAAAAATGAAAATAGCAAAATTGTTTGTTAAAACTGAGGAATTGTTAGGGGCATGGGCATCTGCCACTCGAGATGCTTTATTAGGGGGGGTGCCTAAATATGGTAACATTTTTTCTCTTGACACTACTTCCATTGCAAGCAAATCGCACAAACATGTGCTTGTGTGATTTGCCTGCAGTGGAAGAAATAGTGAAGTGATTTAGCAGCAAAATCACTAAAAAGTATAACTGATTTGATTGTATTTTTAAAGTGATCACCATGAAACTCCCACGAGTAAAAAAATGACGGCAAAGTTTGTAAATAGGTTGATTAATTTATTTTCAGAATAAATATTTAAAACGTAAACTATGCATGGAATAACGTGTTGTTACAAAATAATTTTTTGAATTCTTTTCTCTGTGATTTGAAAAACTTGCTGAACTGCACCAAGATGAATGTGGAACATAAGTACCAAAATAACTTACTTTATTTCTGAAAAGACAAATTCTTACTTAAAAAGTTCATTTTCATTTGATGGGAAACTGGAATTCGTCATCATTTTGAATATTAAGAAAGAGATTTCATATGAACAAAAAACTTATTTCATAATTCTTATTACTCAGCTTTGTGATTAATCACTGATAAACTAACAAATACCACTTTTAATTTTAGTAATGAAAATACATCCAGTCAATCTTGATGTCTTGCAATAAAACAATTAGTTGTTGGTTAAGCTGGCAAGTGCTTTAAAAACATTTGAGCATTACTTTTTGAGCTGATAAGTCAAATTATCATATATTTAGTTCAGTGTTCAAAGCTTCAACACCTGTTTGTTAAAATTATTAGATTAAAACAAGTAAATGTTGACTAAATAGTATATTTCAACAGATCAAGATGTACAGTCAAAAGTCGTTAATTCGGACACCTATAATCCGGACCTCTAGCTAAAAACTTTCTGCGCATGCGCCGCGTTAGCACATGCGCACAGGCGTTTTACGCGTGCGCGTAAGACCTCGACTACTGCACAATATGCGTGTGCGCAAGTGCAGAATACGTTTTCGCCTGCGCGTTTAATGTATAACGGATGGTGTAAGGCTAAAATTATCTAATTATCTATTTCAGTTAATGTTGCAATGATTGCGTTGTTCCTTAATCTTCGAATAGGATCCCGCTTATTATTTTTTGCAGACTGTAAGAGCAATTTTATAAAAGTAAACTTGAACTTTCGATTATGTCAAATAGAATTTCCGATGCTGGAACTTCCAAAGGATCTACAAAACGAAAGTATGTTTTGAATGTCCAACAAACAAAAAGTGAATTGCTGAAAAAAATGGATAAAGACATGAAGAATGTGACAGAGAGGTTAGTGAAACGAAAACGAAAAAATTTCCATTGACCAGTTAGTCGGTATTCTCGGCACAGCAATTAACGGGACTTGAACAGCAGAACTTTTAACTGAAAAGAAATTATGTCTGTTTTATAGAATTAAAGAGAAAGTATTATCACATGTAAAATGAAGCAACTTAAACAACTTACATTGAAAGAAATGTTTAATAAAGTAAACAAATAAATATTAAGCTTTTTTTTTTTTTTTTTTGTAAATTTTGATACCGTTTAGATCATAATTGTTCTTTATTTCATAAATTATGGTTTCATATTTTTAATTTTAGAATTTCTGCATGCCATCTTACGAGATTTAAACTGATGATCTATAATCCGGAATTGCCAAAGTCCCGACGAGTCCGGATTAACGACTTTTGACTGCATATATTTTACTAGAGAATTCAAACTAGATACTAAGTATTTCCAAAGATCTATTTTTGTGTTGATTATCCTTTCTTTAAAAATTTAGAAATGTCATGTTGGATACATAATGTCATAACTATAAAGTTATCAGGTCTTACATCTCTTCCCCCCCCTTTTTTTTTCAGTAAAATCTATTCGTAATTTAAATGGTCATCTTATTGGGCAATATCGTATACATGCAGGGAAAACTGTGCCTATCGTGAAAGGAGGTGAAGCTACAAAAATGGAGGTATGCTATTATTATTACATAAATACATAAATAAATAAAAATTTACTGCACCTTGGGTTAGGTTATTTGAATAGAGCAAAGTACATGAAAACTACTGCTTAAGGGGAGGGATGACATCGTGGAAGACTTTCTGAGGGAAACTGGCTCATATTCAAGTAACTACAAAAACCAATCATGCAGCCATCCTGTTAACTTGAGGTTTAAATCCCAGTAATCTTAATCAGTCAGCTGCTGATGAGACCTGCACATTTTGGGACTAAGGACTGTAGATATTGGAAGATCTTATGATCATGTCTTCATGTGAAGATGTTCATGTTATGGATTTATGGTCATGTCTTTAAGTTTCAATTTTTTTTTTTTTTTTTTTTATGTTAATCTTGGATTGTATGCATATAAATAACTAAAGATATTGGAGATTATGTAAATAATATCTATTAAGTACAATATAGTTTGTAATTAATTTCTACATAAATAAAATAATGCCAGTACAAGAGGAAACACAGTGAGAAAGAAAAGAGATAAAGTGATAGAGAATTTTTTTGATGAAATTAAGAACTCTTTTTCAAAATATGTAGGAAGTATTTTATGTGAAAAAAATTGTATATACTTGAGCAATCCACCAGCAAAAATAGTTTTTATGGACTTAAATGAGGCAAAAAATAAATAAATAAAGCCATTGTGTACAAAATTTCCAATATTACATTTTCCCTAAACTTAACCCTTGCACCAATTCTGCATTACATCCTGGTCATTTGCTAATTGTGCGGCTGTAAGCTGTTAATAACATTGTAAATCATTGTGTTGCTTGTTATATAGAACATACAGCTATATATTTCTGTTAAAAAAGCTTATTTGCATATTTATACCGCAAAAAGACTGCCTTTCTGTGATAAGTTTTGTAAAAGTTGATTTTTTTTTAACATCCTTTCTTTTATTTTAGTTTACTTTGTCTACTGTGAAAATAATCACATATGAAATTATTTGCATCTCATTAACCACTTAACTGTTTTATTTTCCTGCTATATTGTGACCAAAAATAAGCATATTTTGTATTCTAATCGATTACATGAATTCAAATCAGCAGTCAAAACTGTTACAAGTATTACACTTATTAATTTAAGGTGATTTTTAATTACAGCGAAATTAAAGCATATTTGAAGTTAAAGTTGGTTTTTTTCTGACGAAACTGCGAAACTGGCAGGAACACTTTACAGGAGATAAATGTGAAAGAAGTGAATTCGTTGTGAAAGGAAATCGTGGCGGTGGTGGTGGAGGATTACTAGTATCCATTTTACAAAAGTTCCGAACCTGAATTAGACCATCTGAACTTTCCGTTTCTCCATCAACTCTGCAGAGTTCTGATTAAGGAACTTTCAGGATTACCATAATCATTTACAGAAAATTTAGATTTGCTATCTGATACAATATCAGAATTATATTTTGCTATGAGCCATTTAGTGTCACCCACTGTTCTTTTATTTGATGACAAATTTGGAAAGAAATAATTATCCGCAAAGCCTAATGCACTGAACACGTGCAAACAAACTCGTTGAATTTCTTTGCCTAATGAAAAGCGGGAAAATCTTTCTATGAACTGATTTTACAATCCACTCTCTCCTGAACCACTAGAGACGTCTATCAGAAACACTGCAAAGTGAAAAATGTGTGAAAGGCCAGAACAATCAGTGGATTTGTGTAGAAGAATACACTGCTCGAGTGGTGGACGGGCAAATCAAAAAAGTCCCTTTTCAAGTCACCCGAACAGTTTTCGGGCAAAACAGTTAAGTGGTTAAATATATTAGATAAGTTTGCATTATGGGAATTACACTTGGGTTATGGAGAATAATGGTCTTGTATACTTTCTGAGGGAAACTGACTCGTATATATATTACATGTTTCAAAAACCGTCTAAATTCTGTTGTAGCAAAGATCCGAACTGGAGATAAAATGCCATTGTTTCTTGACATAAAATATTCAGCTAGTAGTAGACCATAATTACAGCAAATTTTTGAGGGGGGTATGAGTGACTAATAAAATAAATGCCTGTTTTTTCAGTTTCCTTGATTATATTTATGTATTGTTTTTTTAATACCAATACAAATACAAGAAGTTAAGCATTTACTGTAATAGAATTTATCATATTGACCAGATCAAAAGAAGAAATTATGGACATACTAAAAACTTAATAATTCACATCAAGATATTATCTCTCCTTTTATCCTAGTTTTTGAAGGATATAAAGGATGGATAATTAAAAGTGATTAGATATTTAATTTAGACTGAATGCACAAAGATCCATACCATTCTGAAGAAAAACATCGTAAATGATGGAATCCATGAATCTTTTCCTCTCTTTCACTATCACTATCCTCTCAAAAAGATTTTTGGATTGACAGATTGTAAATAATCATAGCCCATACTTCTGATTACGAGTATATCTTCACTAAAATTTATCAAATTATGAAGCATTCTTTTAACTGAATATTACCACAATAAAATGTATAGCTGTTGAATATAAAGACCTGAGATAAAAACTTTTAAATCGCTTTTTGCACTGCCAATGGTAATATTGCATTATTATGTTGAAAAGGAATGCTTTATGTTTGCAACCGCTAAGCTATCCATATATTTAACTTTCAAGCTTGAAGCATGCTTAAAGCTTTCTCGTAAGACTGACAACTAGCTTGCCATTATTTGCAGTGCTAGTCACTGAAGCAAGATTGCACTTGAAATGTAGCATTTTTCTGTACACAAAAGATGCCGCTATTATTGCATATGTTCTAAACTTACAGGTCTAAACAGGTCAGATCGGCCTAAATTGCAAAGGCTCAACAGTGCGTCTGCAGTCAGTTTTGTCCCAATGATGAAAATGTCCTGGACAGCTAATTAAATAAAATTCAAACTGCATTGTAACCATTGTATAAAGTAACCATTTGTGATAGATTACGTGCAAGACTTTGTGTAAGATATATTATATGCAAGAGAAATCACTTTTATTTGCACTGTATGTTTAGAAATTTTCTGTTTATGAGTGTCTATCTACAGACAAGAGAGCATTTCTTGTGATGAATATTCCAGAAAAGCCCTATTGATGGCTTCAATAAATATCTTAATATGTTGTGTTTTAAGTGGCAGAGCTTTAGATACAACTTGAACATAACATAGTACTTTTGACTTACTTTTGTGATGGATGGAAGAGGCTGCTGATCTAAGCGAGTTTAAATTTTTTAACGACACATGCAGAAAAAACACAAATGATTGTATGCAAATAAAAATTTCTGGAAACTATCATCATGTTGGCTTATAGTTGCTTATTAGCCAAGCAGTCTTTTAGACTAGTTAATTTTTCAACCATTCATACTTTTACTGAAAGAAGGTAAAAGTATCAATTCATTGGTGCGGAGGACAACACCATATTATAGAATGTTTTACTAACTTTTGGCTAGCGAATAAATTTATAGATTGTACCAACATCTGTACCAACATCCCAGTTTAGTCTAGTTGTCTAATTTTGTTTATATTGATATTTTAAATTCTGGTTCGATGAGATGCTGTGATTAATGTCCTTTTCTCCTGTTTTCCTTCTTTTGTGGATTCTGTCAGAGTGTTGTTACATATGTAGTTTTGGCTGTGTGTTAACATTAGCTTCGAACTCAGTTGAAATGTTTGCTAGTGCTTTTCTATTTTCTTAATGAACGCTGTATTGCAAGGCACTGCCCAGTGAATTTATGCCATATCAAAATCTATAAGTACTGTATTAAAAAAAATATATAATTGAAATGTATTGGCGAGATGCATAAAATTGCCATTTTGAGACCTTTGCCGTACATGTTAAAGGTAATGCATAATTTGTGCTTTATTGCAGGAAGGTGAATTTTATGCCATTGAAACATTTGGTAGCACTGGAAAAGGTTATGTACATGATGATATGGAAGTATCTCACTATATGAAAAATTTTGATGCTGGGCATGTACCTCTCAGGTAATTAAAGTTTCATATATCACTTTTGTATTGAATACTGATATTTTTGGGGGGAGGTGCAATTCTTGGATATTCAGAAATTTAACATCGATATTTGTTTCTATTTAAATTTGTTAGTCGTTTGTCAAATAAGTAACTTACTAATATGAAAATTTTCATTTTTGACTATAATGTAGATACAATCAAATATCAGTTACCAAATTGCTTAGTCTTCTAGGTGAAGGAAAATGAAGCTAGTTGCTAATTTGTATTTTTTCACTGATTTGAGTGATATGCAAAGATATAGTACAGTGTACATATTTTGAAAAGCTGTTAAATTAATGCTTTAATAATCTGTATAATTTAATTACAATTAATTACAAAATAATGCAAAAAATAATTTTTTAACTTTAATTCAGTAAAAGTAAAAAATTTGGTTTCCTTATATAAGGCCACCATAAATTAAAAGTAGGGAAGGTATAAAGACCATTTACACATGTATGCAAACTAAATTTATTTACCCTCTTTATAGGGCACTGTATAGTTTAAAAAAATAGATAAGCCAGTCTAAGACTGCAGCCCAAAAGAAGTCGACACTCAAAAATTAAATGTAGTTCATAAATAGTACACATTAAGACCTGCACTATGTTTCATATTTTGTGACAAATTTTATTCTGCAATTTCATAATTTTCCCTCTATATTTTAGCAAACAAATATCGAGTTTCTGATGCATAAACCGCAAAAAAAGCTCAGAGTGCAAAGTATTAAAGTGATCTTTTTCTTCTGCTTGCGAAGGTGTAGAAATTTCGTTTGCCCTTGTTAGACTTGTGACCAAATTTAAATAACTGTAAATATAAGGTGATTTCTTATCTATCAACATAAAGTGCTGCAGTTATGGGCTATGCATATAATCTTTGAAAAAACAATTTATACTTGCATGTATTGCTATATAGTTTTATGCAGTACAAAGTCCAAGATCTGAACTTGCTGGGATTCCGGATTGTAGATCATCACTTTAAATCTAGTAAAATGACGTGTAAAAATTATTAATCTTAAATAGTTGTTTGTGAAATAATGAAGCATATTGACCTCAAGGGAATCAAAATTTACAATTTTGCTTTGCTTTGTTAAACATTTTTTTCAAAGTAAATTGTTAAAGTTGCTTTGCTTCTCTTTTCCTAATACTTAATTATTATAGATAACTTCATCTTCAGTTTTAAGTCCTGTAATTACCGTGTAGAGAATTTTCATTAAATTTTCGTTTTCAACAACTTCTCTCACTTTCATCACAATCGGTAGTGATATTTTCTGGATTAAGAACTATACTAGATTTCGGCGTGCTTTAATTGATTGGTTACTGGGACATTGTCATTGCAATGAAATACTTCTGGTATATCATCTTCATTTATTATCACTTTTAACACTTTCCCACAAGTTCTATTAATTGAAAAGTTCCCCCCCCCCCCCCAGTTTCCAAAAACCTTTAAATTTGTGGCTGCCATCATTAAGCTGGTGAGCATTCTATTGAGAATAGTGACTAAAGACATTTGTTCTTCTACCATTTACAGCATATACGTATCTGAGTTGGGATGAAATAAATTCCCTGATATACTTAAAGGGGTACTTTTTCTTATGCACCTACCACAGATTTTGTAGTGTTTTTTTAATCTAATTGTTAACAACTTCAAATTATAATAATAGTTTTTAGATGGCAAGCACAGGTGGTAAATGATAGGCACCTGCTATTTATGGAAACAACAAATCAGTTGTTATTAATCAACAAATGAGTTGTTAAATGACGTATGAATATCATTTACAAAGTATATATTTTTAAATTTCTTCCTCGGCACATTTAACACTTGAGCACAGAAGGTTACCAAGCTGTTTGGTATTCAGTTATTGATATTTAAAACAAAAATTATTTTAGACATCAGTGTGTGAGGTATTTCTCAAGCTACTGTGAGTTGATAATCATGTAATCGAATAATAAATGATTCGCCAGTTTGTTATAATATTCGATAGGCATGAGGCATGAACTCAACGACAAACATTATTAGAAAGTATTGGCTTGCAAAGCAAGATAATTGTTTTATTTAGAACCAAAGTGAAGTAAAGAATCAGAAAAAAATTTGTTTAAAGAATATTTATTTTTCCTTTTGGACTGGTGATCGAGAGGTCTGTATATCGGACATCCAAATTTCGGACTTTGTGCTATAAATGCATTTATATATTTGTCTGTACTTGCTTTCATGTTTTATTTTTTTACACTGATGTTTTCTCTTATTTAGGTTAGCTCGTTCTAAACAACTACTCAATGTAATAAATCAGAATTTTGGGACACTGGCATTCTGCCGACGCTGGCTCGACCGTTTAGGTCAAACTAAATATCTGATGGCACTCAAGGATCTATGTGATAAAGGAATTGTCGATCCTTATCCACCACTAAGTGACATCAAAGGCTCATACACAGCTCAGTTTGAGCATACGATATTATTACGCCCAACATGTAAGGAAATAGTTAGTAGAGGGGATGATTATTAAATTTTAGTGAATTTTGAATTAAATATCTAATAATATGAAACTCAAAATGCATATAAATTGCTGTTTTTCTTCATTTTACAATTGTTGTAAAAATGAATTTTTCTAAGTCTACATTTTGAATTGTTTCCTTAAAATATGGCCAAATAATAAATTGTTAGGTTTAGATCATGCAGATATATTTATTCATATTGCTCAAATACAAGACTGTTAATGAATTGTTTAATTATAGTGTATTTCCTGATTTACAAAAGTCATGTCATAATCCATTTCAGTATCGTTGATTTTATTACTGTTATAAGTTTAATAAGCCAGAATCAAATGTTTTAATACTGAAATTATAAATTACGCAGATAGGATATGTCACCTTTTTTAAATACAACAGTGTGTATATTAATTTTTGTAACAAATAATTTGCCTTAGGTTTGTTTCCATTTAACAAAAGGTTTTATTTCAATTAATATTTGATTTGGTTCTCATTTTTTTATAAAGGCATTTTTATGTAATAATTTTAATGGCTTCCTTCATTTCATCTTCACATAAATGTAATAGATTTTATGCAGGGTTAGTTATAAATTAATACTATGAGAATTATAATTTTATACATTGCATGCATGCGGATTTCGAAATTTCTAGTCACATATAAAATATAGCTTTTGTGCACTACTTAATTACCAAAAAAGCTATTTGCTAATGCTGTTTTTAATGCTTTCTTTAACAATTACTTATTGTATGAAGCATGAGTTTTGTTTTTGTATTCAGCAAAATGTGCAGTTTAATTATGTAAAATATGTTTCAGGCGTTCTTTTTTTATCTATAAATGAATAGAGATTTCATTTTGTGAAAGCTATTTTTTATAAATGTGAAAGAAAATTGTAATTTCAATGTTTTAAACAATGTAAATTATATAAATATTTGTAACCAATACTTCTTTATTAAAATGTAAAATCTTTTGCCATATTAAAATATTCATCAATTATAGCATTGCTTTTTTTCTGAATTTAGTACATGACTGAAATTCACTCTGTGAATGCCTTTATATTTTGGCCTCCCAAAAAATCTTTAATTTCGAATGTTTTAAACATTGGAGGCCATTTACAATGAACAAAAATATTTTTTAAACTAAAATATTAAAGTGAGTGAATTTTACTTTCTTTAATAAGAACAGAGACTATATAAAACTGAATTGCAATTCTTTATTTTGTAGTTTGGTAGGTCATTTTGTTAATTTTATTTTAAACACGTACTCCAGATATGTAAGTCTGATATAAATATGTAAGAAATAAGGTGTAAAGGGTAATAATAATAAACATTTAAATTCAGTATACTTCTTATTATATTCTTATTGGCTGTAAAGAGGTAAGACTATACGAATAGCTTGTTAAAAATTATGAATGGTTTATATTTAACAAAATTTAAAATCAGATGGTAACACGCTTTAACCACAAATGCACAGTAAAATAACACTATAATTTTACCAACCATTAAAATATGGAAATTATATGAGTAAAATATTTGTTTCCATTTTTAACCATGGACAATTTATATAAAACTCGGTATTGAGTCAAAAATGTATATTTAAAGTATTCATATAGTACATATTAAAAATGTACTTTCTTGGACAATAATGAGATGTAGAAATTATTGTTAAAATTCATGCAGGTGTGAAACTGACAATGCTTACTAACTGAATGAACTAGCTCATATAATTATTCCCATGTGTAATATGAAAATATATAAGGCAAGGTATATATTTAGAATGTGCAGACATTCCTGGTCAGAAAACTTTCTGAAATGATATGTATATATATGGTGGACTGAAATATATAATGTGAGTGTTTTAAATTAATAATTATCAATACCTATATTATAATGCCCATAGTGCCAGGAGAAGGAAAAGCCTGGCCAGAAAAAAAAAAAATTAGTCCTACATGGCGATCACTGGCTAGCACCGGGTGGTTTGTTGGATGGAAGTAATGGGGAAAAAAAGGAGAGAGGAGGGACGAAAAGGGGGCTTCTGACCCTGGATGTCGAACGGGACAGTCCAATTTTTTGTGGCTGAAGGGCCATCACCTTTTTTTTTTTTTTTTTTTTTTTTTTTTTTTTTTGTTATGCGGAGATTGTTTTCTCATCTGGCAGAGACAATGCCGGAATTACCTATTCATGATTGTACCTATAATATATAGTAATCAAGAATTGTTTACCTATTAAAGTTTATTGTCAAACAATAAAAAGGTGTCGGAATTCCTAATGTGATTGCGTCGGATAATGGTACCAATTTTAATGCAGACTTAACACGGGAATTTGAGAAAAGATTAGGGTCCAGTCCAAGATTTTTGACACCCATGTACCCTCAAATGATTTAGTCGAAAGGTTTAATCAGCAGACTTTGAAACGTATGTTGCATCATATTAAAGAGGAAGGTCGAGCCTGGCATGTCCAAGCACCTTATGCATTATGGGCATACAGGGAAATACCTAACAGTATTATTACAGGGGTATCACCTTTGCAACTATTGTATGGTAGACCGGCACAAGGAGCATTATCTATTTTAAAATCTACATGGTTAGGGGAGCATGACAAATTGAAATTCGATCTGAAGCCAATGCATAAATATTTGCAAAATTTGAAGGAGCGATTGAAACGAGCTGCTGAGCAAGCTGATCTTACGAGCGAAATCCAACAAGGTAGGATGGTGTAGTATTATAATTTGCGCCCTTCGAGTAAAACTTTTGAAGTAGGAGATAGGGTTGTAGTCCTCATACTGGATTCAAGCAACAGGTTATATGCTCAATGGCAGGCTCTTGCAGTGAAAGGAAAGGAAAGTGCCACACTCTTTTTTAGTAGAACTGGCAGATGAGAGCATTAAGCATGTACATCAAAATAAAATAAGGAAATTCATTGTGTGGTCAAATGCAATCAATGTAATTTTTGACGGGGAGGTAGACAATATTCCCTCTACTTTAGACCAGGATAGTAGTTTTGAAAGTATGTTAAATAATCTTAATACCACTAATCTTAACATCAAGCAGATTAATGATCTAAAACTACTGTTGAGAAAGTACAATAACTTATTTTTTAGATATGTTCAACCAGCTAGAGTGTGACAACATAGGGTTGATCTTATGCCTGGGATATACAGAAAAAAAAAAAAAAAAAAATTCATTCTCATGGCATATCGCAAAGAGGTGGACAAACAAGTGAAGGAACTTCTAGAGCTGGGTCTCATTGAACCTTCGGAAGCGGACATAGCCCATCCGGTTGTGTGTGTGGTCAGGAAAGACGTGACAATCAGAATGTGCATGGATTTCAGGATTTTGAATTTGATCACTAAAGTGCCGGCATTTCCTATGAAGGATATGCATGAATTAATATATGTGGATGGGCATTCAAAATGGCTATCCACCTTAAATATGTGCAGAAAATACTGGCAAATCGGAACGGATGAATCAAGTAAACCACTGACAGCATTTTCAACTCGCAACGGGATGTTTCAGTGGAACATCATGCCGTTTGGTTTGGCAGGAGCATCAGGTACTTTTCAAACAGAAATGAATAAGGTTTTTTTTTTCCGGTACTGCGATTTTGTCCAAGCATATATCGACGATATTCAAATTTTTTCAAACACCCGAAGCATCTAGAAACGATTCTTAAGATACTGGAAGATTTAAAATTTTCTGTCAGGCTCAGTTAAGTGTGATTTTGCAGCTAAGGAAATAGATTACCTTGGCCAGCATAGGGAACAGCAAACGCGGCCCAGGTCCTAGTAAGATTGCAGCAATTAAAGCGGTAGAAAGGCCCACAAATAAAAAAAGGAGTCCATTCGGTATTGGCTCGCATGGGATTGGATTGCACCATATATCCCGAAATATGCTCAGAAAGCTGGACATTTGACGAAAAAGAATGCACCGAATAATGCACGGTGGGGTCAAGTTAAAGACGTGCCTTTCCAGAAATTGAAAGATATGCTGTGCCAGGTGACGTCTTTGGACTTTAATTTACCATTTCAGATGCATCAGACGTCGCCGTTGGTTGTTGCTTAACTCTGACAGATGCACAAGGGCATTTTAAACCAATAGCCTTTGCATCCCAAAAATTTTCTGTTGCTCAGAAGAATTGGGCAGGCATAGAAAAGGAGGCCTGGGCGGATTTATTCGGGCTCAAGAAATTTGATAAGTAGATTTTCGGGGGGATGATGGAAATCATTACGGACCATAATCCTTTGAAATATCTCACCGAAATTACACCTAGGAGTCCAACACGTTGGGTTCTTTCTTTGCAAAGATGGAATTTAAAAATCACTTATCATCCAGGAGTACAACGTCGGGCCGCAGATGCGTTGTCACGACTAGTATGAATAATAATAACACAAAAACAGGGAACCATAGACTTTCAGAGGTTCATAATTCATGTCTCTAAATACTCGTTGAGATAATTTGTTTAAATGATGTAGGTAAATAAAAATGTTTGTGTAATGTAGAATGTATTTATGCAGTTATGTTTAGTGTAATATTGTTATTTGTTAAACATAAAAAAACTGGTAAGTTTTTGTATCCTGATCAGATTTTGTTTTCTAAGTACCCCCTGCACCTAATCGGGTAGGGGGCTGAAAATTTTCAGTAGCCATGTCAGCCAGCAGGAACATTGACATTTCATATGAAATCAAGTGTGTCAACTAATAAATCTATGAACTTTGATTCTGACAAATCCGGAATTGCTTATGATGAACGCTGTGCTTTGTTTCTGATGAACTCTACATTATTTCTAATTAACACTGAACGATTCTGTTGAATCTGTTGTGAAAATTAGCCTTAAGAGGCAAATCTTCATCTTAGTGGGTGCATGTAATGCCCATAGCCCCAGGAGAACGAAAAGCCTGGCCGGAAAAAATAATTAGTCCTACATGACGATCACTGGCTAGTGGCGGGTGGTTTGTTTAACGGAAATAATGAAAAAAAGGACAGAGGAGGAACAAAAAGGGGACTTTTGACTCTGGATGTCGGACGGAATGCCATCGCCATTTTGTTTGTTGTGCAGAGATTGTTTTCTTATCCAGCGGAGACAATGCCGGAATTACCTATTCAGAATTGTACCTATAATATACACTGCTGGCCACCGTAAATGCAACACCCTGAAGGAAGCATGCAAATAACATGAAATTTACAACATGCATTAGTGGAGGTGAGACATGCAAATGATTAGAATTTCAGCGCAGATGCACATTACGTGGGCCTGTGGTGCAACTTCAAAGCGCTATTTAAGGCTTGGAGTTTTCGATGATTTCAAGTTCAGCAATTGTGTTTTTCTTGTGGTTTTTTTCAAAAAAACGATCAATTATGCTTCGTAGTAAACAGCGATCATCGTTTGATCAAATATCTGAGTTCGACACAGGAAGGATAGTGGCCTACTGAGAGTGTGGATTATCTTTCAGGGAAATTGGTAGTTGTGTTGGATGAAACCAAACAACTGTAATACGGATATGTGACCAATGGATGCAGGAGGCAGGGTTCGTAGTGGTCCTTATAAGTCCTTATATTTGAAAATAAAATATAAAGGCTCTTATAGGTGCTTACTTTTTCTTTAAAGGCGTTATTTTTTTGTTTTAAGTGCATTTTTTTTTTTTTAATGAACTTGCTATTTTCCCCTGTACCAAAGCCGAAACTAAATAAACAACTTTTCTTCCTAATATGGAATGTCAGATGGTGATTCATACTCCCGGAAATAGCTTTTCCCCCCTTTCTCTGCATTAACATAACCTTTGGTGTGCACGAAGAGTACAGACATGTGTGCCCGTCGTTCTATTGGTCAAAGAATTGCGAAAGCGAAGCAGTAGAAATTTCCGCTACATTCGGCATTCATTTTCATCCCACCCCAAAATACTACACACGTTTGAATTTC